TAGACTGGGTGCTACGTGTGCTATGTTTCATGTCTATAAGCTACTTTACTACTTGCCATCATTATATCATGCATTCGCCTGTTCTCATCTGGCAGCAACCAATGATGTCAAGCGGGTGTAAGTGAAAAGCAGTACAGTGGTACCTCGGGTTACATACGCTTCAGGTTACAGACTCTGCTAACTCAGAAACAGTACTTCAGGTTAAGAACTTTGCTTCAGGATGAGAACAGAAATCGTGCTCCGGCGGCGCAGCAGCAGCAGCAGGCCACATTAGCTAAAGTGGTGCTTCAGGTTAAGAACAGTTTCAGGTTAAGAATGGACCTCCAGAACGAATGAAGTACTTAACCCGAGGTACCACTGTATTGTGGTAGCACCATTGCATTGAGGTTTACCAGACTCTTTGAAGGGAAACTAACGGCGTGGCTGCTGGTTTTGGTGGCAGCTGGAAATTTAACATCCTTTCTGATTTGGCCCTTTGAGGCAAGTCTCCCATAATCAGGGTGTGGTACAGTTCTCATAATTATATATATGTATTTATTTATGTATGTACTGCTTGAATCAGCCTCACATAGAAATCTTGCTGCGTGGAAAGCGAGCGTTGGAGAGGTGGTTTCCAGCTTGGCCTTCACCTTCGTATCTTAACTAAACACATGCAGGAATTTCCACCTATCTGCATTTAATATATGAATAGACTCTAGAATAACTTAGGAATCATTGAAACTTTCCACGAGCTAGATAGGATCTCCAAAGAAGGCCAGCGGCCAGGGCCCAGGTAGGTGAGCGCCCAAGAGGACAGAACTGAAATCCAAGAGAAACAGAGCCTCAAAATGGTGCAAAGAAATAATTTTTTAATCAAACATAGTTCTTTTAAAATACTCAATGTATTTTGGATGAAAGTAACCTTCAGGAGTATTTATAAAAGCAACAACCCTCACTCACCTCAGTGGGGCTACGATGGCATAAGTTCTACTGGAGATAGCATAGGACTTTAAGGGATAGCATAGGACTTTAAGGGATTTATATCTTCTGTAGCAGATGAAAGCCTTTGACAGGAATATTACACTGTTTTTGTGTGTTTGTATTAAAGCCAATAGATGTGGTGGCACAGCTGTGGACTGATTTTGTAATATCTGACTGAAGCCCCAATATCAGAAAGGAACAAATGTAACTTCTTATCATGACTGTAACAATCAGTTGTGACTCTGTGAAGGATTCTGTTTATCTTGCAACTATGCAAGCAACTGCTGTTACATGCCAAAGGAAAGCCCCAGAGAGTATTTATGTACATTCCATCAATCTTTAACTGCTTAGCAGTTGGAGTGTGAATAGTTTTTATGACAATTTACCCTGAAACTGACGCTTGTGCTTTTGTGAGTCAAGCAGACACTTGGGTGCTTCCTGGGTCATGCTGTGTCCACTAATACTTCTTCTGCAAACTGGAGAAATGTTTGAGTAGTGGCAAGGAGAAGATAATACAAGAATACTCCCCTTGATGTTCACTTCACTTTTGAAAGTTAGTGCTGTGTGTAGATTGCTGGATCTCTACCCAGCTGATAATGCTGTGCCAAAAAGGGCCAAATTAGATGTTGTGTGCGAAACTTGTGAATAGTTTTCCAGTGCTTTGCTGTGAACTGAGACACAGCATTTAAGCCTGCAGTCAGGAACAGAGGAACAGAAAAGAGGGGTCTTTTGTTTGTTTAGAAATGTTTGCTGTAATACATTCCATCTAAATAGCAGGAACAGCGAAGGAAGTCTGTGAAACTGTTTTGAGATGTGTTAATATGTATTGTGATAGATTCAGATTGTTTTGGTCTATGAACAGCTGCATTATCCACCATCAGCCTTTGAGTAATTTTCAAGATGCATTTTGTTAATAGCAATTATTTTAAGAAGACACTAGTAATACAGGGTGCAGCTATTTAAAAATAGCATTAGAACATCTGTGTTTAAGAAGATACAACTTCTGTAAAATATTTTTTTGTAAAAAAATTTCCCCCACAAGTCGTTCATTCACTAGTTGCTGATTTTCCCCAGACTTTTTCTTCATACATCAACTAGTTTAATTTCTCAATAAATTATTTTAGAATATTGTTTCTTCTGTCTGCCATAGTAAAGCCCAGATTCTACACCTGTAATTACCGGTATATAGGCATTGTGCTTTGCGGGAATGCAGATTTTCTTCTATCTTCTATCTTCCAAGATGATATAAATGGTAGCTCAACACTCTTGACTTCCATAAGCAAACCAGCCTACAATGAGTTATTTTACAACTGGAAAATAGGTCTGTAACAAGTGCACTGCTATCCCTTCTGGTTTTACTGGATTAAAATTAGAAAAGGTATATTTAATGTTTAATAATAATAATAATAATAATAATAATAATAATAATATTTATTATTTATACCCCGCCCATCTGGCTGAGTTTCCCCAGCCACTCTGGGCGGCTCCCAATCAGTGTTAAAAACAGTACAGCGTTACATATTAAAAACTTCCCTGAACAGGGCTGCCTTAAGATGTCTTCTGAATGTCAGGTAATTATTTATCTCTTTGACATCTGATGGGAGGGCGTTCCACAGGGTGGGCGCCACTACCAAGAAGGCCCTCTGTCTGGTTCCCTGTAGCCTCACTTCTCGCAATGAGGGAACCGCCAGAAGGCCCTCGGCGCTGGATCTCAGTGTCCGGGCTGAACGATGGGGGTGGAGACGCTCCTTCAGGTATACAGGACCGAGGCCGTTTAGGGCTTTAAAGGTCAGCACCAACACTTTGAATCGTGCTCGGAAACGTACTGGGAGCCAATGCAGATCTCTCAGAACCGGTGTTATGTGGTCCCAGTGGCTACTCCCAGTCACCAGTCTAGCTGCCGCATTCTGGATTAATTGCAGTTTCTGGGTCACCTTCAAAGGTAGCCCCACGTAGAGCGTGTTGCAGTAGTCCAAGCGTGAGATAACTAGAGCATGCACCACTCTGGCGAGACAGTTCACAGGCAGGTAGGGTCTTAGCCTGCGTACCAGGTGGAGCTGGTAGACAGCTGCCCTGGACACAGAGTTAACCTGCGCCTCCATGGACAGCTGTGAGTCCAAAATGACTCCCAGGCTGCACACCTGGTCCTTCACAGTTACCCCATTCAAGACCAGGGAATCCCCCACACCAACCCGCTCCCTGTCCCCCAAAAACAGTACTTCTGTCTTGTCAGGATTCAACCTCAATCTGTTAGCCGCCATCCATCCTCCAACCGCCTCCAGGCACTCACACAGGACCTTCACCGCCTTCACTGGTTCTTATTTAAAGGAGAGGTAGGGTCCTATGTCATGAGCTAGGCCAGTAATAGCTATCATTTCTTAAGTTGAACAGTTTCCATTTTCTCTTGGATCTAGATTCCGCAGGAATAGTGGCCATACTAACAATGAAGTTGGTTTTAAGTTTCCAGCAACTTAGTTTATACGCATGTGTATTTTTAATTTTTTGTGTGTGTGATCAGTGAGAAACTTCCTTCTCTACCCCAGCCATTATATCCTGCTAACATTGTAACCCTGTTGCCTTTAACTACCAGGAATTGCTGTGAAGGTAATTGGTATCCCTTGAGCTACTGTTACATTAATCTGCACAGGACATAGAAAACCCTGTTGGCGCAAACCTTTTGTGAATGGGTTTCTGTGCACCTTTCCTCTGTGATACTGATTGGTTCTAACCTCCTAGGGAGAATGGACATGAGTGGGACTCAGAAGTCATGGAAAGTTCAGGGTTTGTTTGTTTTTTCTCTTCCTGGTGTGCCTACCTAAAGGATTGTCATGGATGGTCATTCATAGTCAGGAGTTGCTATGTCATACTGAATTCATGGAAATGAATCTACAGAGTAATGCCTTTTTCATTGCTGTATCCAGTGCTTTTTCTCCCTAAAAAAATGTTTACAAGTACACTCATTTTCCTACTCATATTGAAATACTGCCCCTCAATGAAGCCAAACTTAGATACACAAAATGTTTAGGGATATGTGTCCTCCTGCATCCCCCCAGGAAAAAAAAGCACTGGCTATATCAAAAATCAAGCAAGCAAAGTACATAACACTGTTGAAACTCCAGATAGATTTGTTGGAGCAGGAAATTAAGAGCGAGGAATGTATTTAAATGATGTAAAAGAGGAAACATGTTTTCTTACACACACAAACACACGGCTGTGACCTTTATACTTGCTTTTCTAGCTCCATATAGCTCAATGAGTAGGTGCACATTGTGTGGCAAAATGCCTTGCCTTTGCCACTGAGGTTCGCATAGAAAGCTACATTTCTTTAAAAAGTAGGAACTACAGAAGCTAAAGTCCTGCCTCAATCTGAATGCCAGGGTGAACTTCAGAATATTGAACTTGTTTTCTTCAGTTCAGCACAAGCTGTCCCAGGAGAGCTGATTCATATTTGAAGTGTTTATATCTAAATACAGCTACAAAGTGATAAACAATTCAATTAGCTATTGCCCTACTCTGGGAAAAAACTAATTCTTCCTCCTTCAGGGAGAGCAATGTACTCCTCAGTATTGATGAGATGTTTTAAAACTACAGTACAGTAAGCCTGCAACTTAACATGGGGGTTATGTTCCAGGGATCGTGACTAAAACCAAAATCGCGTGTAGTCAAAACACATTGGGTTCAATGGTGGGTAGGGTTGCCAACATCATTTCCCCCAGAAACCCACCCCTTTCCTGTCCCCTTTTATTTTATTCAATTTTACGCTACACACGTGAAGCTGAAAGCATATAAGTTGCAGACTTACTGTAATTCATACTTTGAGAAAGTGGAAACCCTCCTCTCCACTCCACACTTTATAAAATATGCATTGGTCTTCAAAGTCTAGAAATATTGATAAAAGACAAATTGCTACTTAAAATGTCACATTTTGAAATGTTAAAAGTTGTATAAAGACCAGTAGTATGTTTCTAATTGGCTTTGCTGATGTCAAAGTAAACTATGCACCACATTATTAAGTCTCTCTCTCTCTCTCTGTTTTCTAGCAGGAGATCTGGTCAATATAATATGAACCATGACAACTCTAAGAAGCTCTCAGGGAAGCCCCCTTATAACCGTTCAGGTTCTCAAGATTCACTCGATGAATTATCCATGGATGACTACTGGAAAGAACTTGAAAACATCAATGAAACCAGAGGCAATAACTCTGAAGAACAAGCAGTGGTTCTGGTGAAGGAGCCTGATGGTAATTATAACTGGAATTAAGAAAACCTTTTCTCTGTTTTGAAGGCTCTGTGTTAGATCTTTCATTTATTGTGCTTGAAACAACGTACCAAGATAGATTTAAGATTTGGTCAGTTGGAATTGACTAGTGCCTCTGTAAATCTGGCAACACATTGACTGTGTAATTGCTGTTGTGGACTAGACTATCCTGAGCTGGAGGAAAACCATAATACTTTAAGAAAGTACTTGCTTGAATTCATAACTTATGCATATTATTGCCCCAAGATGTGCTTTAAAAGCTTTTGCAGCAAGAGAGAATTTCCTCTTTTCTTCGTTTACATTTCTGCTGTTTTGCAATAAACTGTAACTGGATTTTGACCACTGCTTTGGTAAGGGTAATGGGAAGTTCTTTTGCTTCTTCAGAAGTCATATCTATTCTGGTTACCATAGTACCCGGAATCACACAAAGAGCAATAATTCCTGTAGGAAGTCAGAATTATATAGTAAAAACAACGACGATAAAACAGCTTCTACGTACAGTAGTAAAATGCAGTGTATTTGGAAAAAAGAGAAAGCAACTAAACACTCTAGTGCAAATAAACAGCCCTTTCAGTTGCCAAATGCATTTGACTATATGGTAGTCAATAGGTTAATAGGTGCATGATATCTCAGACCTATTTATAGTGGGTGTGGTGGGGACTGTTCTTAAAAAACACAATTGTCAGCCAAGGTGAAATGTGGGGGTTTCCTCATAATGTTTCACCACACCTGCTCCAGGCTGGCGTCGTTGAGAGGCCCAAGGAATGGGCCCCTTGAGGAATCCACAAGACTTTGGGTCTGAGGGATTCAGGGGATTTTGGATCCTGTGATTCTAAACTTGCTGCCACCCTGCAACTCCCCATTTCGGTGCTTTCCATCCACTTGCCACTGCTGGTGGCAGGAGAACTGCCAGTGAGTGGTATGTCTTCACTTACTGGGCTATGATGGGACCTCTGCCACTTTGGAACATTAGCAGCATGCCTCTACTGCCCAAAGACAGTGGAGAGGCAGTTACATATTGCCACCACCACTATCAACAATGGAGGAACAAGATCATGCTCTCAAATAATATTACATTTGAGTAAAATACCCTCCCCACTCCGCAGTAGAGTGTCTTTACTGTTTAAAATTATGCAAAATAAATTCTGATTGGAGGTGTGTGTGTGTATGAATATATAATCATGTTTTCTTGGCAAGGACTCTGAAGCTATGGGGGGAAAAAAGATAATACCTTAGAACCCTTTTACTGAGAATGCACTTCTGTTTTCTATACTAATTTTAGCGAACAAATGCTGAGGTTCAGGTAAATGTTTCCTAGGAAATGTTCTAAGTCGATGCCATTTCTCTGACATTAAAGCACACTTCTGCAATCCTCTCTTTTGTATGAGTAGCTTCTTATATTCCTAACATGAAAAAAACACCTTGCTAGTTATTTCTATATATAGCAAATGGCCTGCGTTTTTTGTTTGCTGGGACCGTTTTGTTTTTGGTAAACAATGTGTTGCCATCTAGAAACAATGAGGAAATGATCACCTTACTGAAAATCACTAAGGAGTAGAGAACGCAGCAGCAAGCATAATTGGATGCTGCAATACAATCACCCATTTGCAGTAAGATCACCCATTAGCCTTGATAACCTCTGATTAAATTAAACTAATGAAGAGTTGTACTAAGAAAACAAGGCACTGTTATAGCTGGGAGCAAAGGCCGAACTAGCAGAAATGGTGTACAAATCCATTGAATGTGGCAATTGTATATAAATTCTGGTGCTGGGCTTTCTAATTCCATGTAGGAAACAGATCCCCCCCCCCAATCCTATTTTACAGGGAATTGCAGTTATACACACACACACACACACACACACACACACACACACACCCCTCTCACTTTCCTGAAGAAATCTATGGCTGACTTTGGGTATAACGCAAACCCATGGTCATGCAAATGTCATCAAATTTGCGGTCATGCAAATGTCATCAAATTAATTTTTATCTTCTTTTGTCTGGGCCAGAGGGAGAATTGGAAGAAGAGTGGTTAAAAGAAGCCGGTTTGTCAAACCTCTTTGGTGAGGCGGCTGCTGACTCTCAAGAAAGCATGGTGGTTTTGGCTACGCTGACGCGTACACAGGCAGCAGCCGTGCAGAAACGAGTGGAGACAGTCACACAGACAATGAGGAAGAAAAACAAGCAGTACCAAGTTCCTGATGTGAGAGATATCTTCAAGCAGCAAAATGAGTCAAAGGAAAAAGTGAGTTCCTGGTTTGTGGCTTTTGGTTTAGCTTCACTTAAAAAAATCCTGTATAGGAATGCAGGCTATTAGGGTTAAGTCAGAGGAGACGCTGTTTCACAAATCTCAACAAGAGGGCATTTTCTAAAGGCTGCTTTGCTTGTTGCATGCTGCTTAAGAGGATACGGCCATGCTGCTGTGTTTAAATTTGCTAGGGATAAGATGAAGTTTTGTGTTTTACTGACAAGGGGGCCTTGCATATGTTTTGCAAAGTCTAGCTTTATTTTGTGAAACAGGTCTTCACATGAAACAAAGGGAAGCAGTTTGTTCAGGCAGCAGACTCAGGTGAGGCGGAGCTCCTTTTTCCTGACTTTATTTGCTGGCATGTAGATTGTTCAGCTGTGGGATGACTTTCAATATCCCGATGCTTTCCCCAGTTCTGAAAATGGAGAAATCTTTTAGTCTGTTAGACTCCCTCTTTTACAAACCTGCAAAAATAATTTCCTGTATAGAAAACTTGGAGTGGAAAGATGCACAGGTTCAGGAGACACCTTTTCCCATTTTGGGAATGTCAGACTTTACTCATTTATGTGCCTGAGAGCCAGACATAGGGGTGTTCTATTAAACTATGAAATTAGTTTGGTACAGCTGATGCTCCATTTATTATGGATGCTATAATCTGTCAGATGATGTAGCTAATGCTTCAGTTCCCTTTTTGAAGTGAATATTTATCCAGAGGTGCTTTTGTTCTTGTTTTTACTGAATCAAAAAGTGCTGTGCGTTCCTTTTTAGAGCAATGTAATTGCATTCTCAACCTGTGGTGACATCAGCCACATATTAGGCTCATTTAAATGTTTGTCCTTTAGCCACATGCTGCTGTTCTGTATTCAAAATCATAAATAACTGCTACAAAAATCAATTACTTACTAAAACAATAGGAAATAACACACACAGCAATTGCACTATTATGTTTATACTTGCAAGGATTAAAGGTTCCTGTTTTCCTCTGGAGCAATTTGGTGCTAAAATGTTGCAGCATAAAACCAAATAAGGAGCAACAACTAGAGAGAAGGCTAGTAATGAAAAGATCTGAAACACTTCCCTGGACTGCAGTCCTGTGTACCTTTACTTGGGAATGTGCCCCATCAAAATGTGTACAGAAGGGCCAATTGCTCGGTTGTAGAACATCTGAATCACATGCAGAAGATGCCAGCTTTGATCCTGGCATTTCTGGGTAGGACTATAGGCATGGCACTTGTCTGAAACCCTGGAATGTCATTGCTAGTCAACATAGCAACCCTGAGTGGTCTGACACTGCTTCAGACAATTTTTTAGTATGTACCTAAATTTGATGGGCTTCCAAAAGTAGGATTGGGTGGCAAATACATTCTTAAAGTGTTGTCTGAACTTTCAGTAATGGATGGCAGAAAGAAGCCATCATGTATATAGGTTTCACTGATTCCTCTTTCTCTGTAGAGCAGCCTTTTCCAATTCAGTGCCCTCCAGATGTTTTGGACTGCAACTCCCATCAACCCCATCCAGCTTGGCTGTGCTGATAAGGTCCAATAGGAGTGGTAGTACCAAACATCTGGAGATTGTTGGGAAGGTTGGGGAAGTTCGCTAGTGTGCTTGTATTTACCCTTCCCAGTTTAGGGTTTGGAAATCTACGAGAAAGATTGCTCTTATGCTGAAATAAAGGCTATCAATATCATTATTCATGGGGAATGTGGAGAAGTGTCAAGAGCAAGAAGCGGTTGCACCTGTTCTGGCTAACCTGACCTTGGATTAATATGCAAACTTCCCTGCACTGGAAGAACCTGTTCAAGTATTAGCAGAAGCATATAACCGCAGGGAAAGGGGAAGTTCTCTGCTACTTGCCTCAGAAATAGTCGGAGGCCCCCCCCCCCGTCTTTTTGTGGGGAGGAAGAAGAACTTGGCTGACTTTCTGAGGCCCAGATAAAATGAGAAGCTGGGATTGGGACTGTGGAAAACTGGGGCTTCTGAGCAAAAGCCCATCCCTTCTATGAGGGAAGATGATCCCATTAGGGGTTAAGCTTTTGCCCTCAACACCAGTTTCCTCTGGGGCTGCTCTGCAAAGAAGGAATGCACTGGGAAGCCTTTTCCAGCCCAATATGTTAACCTGAACTGGTGGGGGGGGGAATTAACCTCCTAATGTTCACCTCTCCCTTTGGGTTGAGCCTTACAGGATCCCAGAGTCTCAATTCTGATCCTGAGCCGAGCAAACCTCACTGACATCTCTAGTAATTGGAACTAAAAAGACCAAGCATAATATTTGTGTGTATCAATGTATTCATTTTTTAAAAAATGGATGCACAAAGAAATTAAATCAGAAATGTATAGTCAACAAAACTGTTTTTTATAAACAATGTGCTCTTATTCTAACTGTTTCATTATATATTTATATACTTGCTTGTGTGTGTGTTTCCCAGGCATAACAAAAACGGTCCATTTCTCAAACAAATCTTATTTCCCAGTCTGCCCCCTCCAATTCTGTTAATATTTATGAGTTTCAGCATGAGCACCAGGTCTCATAACCTCATCATACATTTGTTTAGGGCACGGGGCCTTTTGGTTTCCATGTGTAGATGATTGTACATTGAGCAGCTGTTAACATGAATATTAATAATTTCCCTCTCCTCTTTAGGCTCTTCAAACTTTCACATATTCAGACAGAATAACAACTTGGTTATACCTTTGGTTATATACTGCAAGTTCATTGTTTCCGAATTCCAAACGTCCTTCACGGTTGGCCATCACAATATACTTAAAAGCTGTTCTTCATGCAGGCTGTTATGGGGAATCCTTTGTCTCCCAGATGTTGTTGGGCTCTTGGCTTCCATCAGCCCCAGCCCAATGGTCAGGAACAGGGGGAGTTGTAATTCAGCAACATCTGGAGGATAACAGGCTCCTTGCTTCTGAAGCAGGGATTCTCCATATATCCCCAAACCTCTGGCCTTTCAAGTTTTGAAAGTTTTCAAGTACTGACTGTGTTAAAAATCTTTTTTAAATCTTGACAATATTTTCTATAAATTCTATACATGAAATTCAAACATGAAACGTCCATGCAAGAGCAATTTTTTCTGATGTCTGTCTTAAGATCAGGTGGGAGCAAAGCTTCTTGTCTATCATTTTATTTTCTGAATAAATATTCAGAATATTTTATTTTCTGCATTTTAGGAAATTGGCAATGAACACCAGTCTGTAAGAACAAAAGAAAACAAAGAGGAGGACACAAAAGAGGGTAAATCTTAACAAATTTTCTGTATTGTTTCCAGTTTGAAATGTCTTAACAAGATATATTGCTGAACAAGTTTGTTTTTTAAAAAAAGAAAGCTTTTTCTAGAATATGGACCATATTCTGGAGAAGTCTTTTAGACAACCCAAACACATGTCAGAATCTCTGCCAAGTCAAAAAACCTCATCAGATGCAAGGATTTAGTTTTGTGGCTCCAATGCCCTAGTTAACCATAACTGTTCCAAGTGTTGATCGAATACCATTGCTATTTCTATAAACAGCAACCAGACCAAAATAATAATTATTTGGTAATCATAATATCCATAAACTCTTAACAATTTGCACAATGAAAGTTGTAACATTTGTTTAATGTCAATGGCAGCAGCCAGTCCTGTGTGCCAGCGCCTTCCTCTCCAGATTATGTGCCTGGTGTTGGGACCCCAGTTGCACTACCCTAATGGCAAGCTTTAACCAATTTGTCTTTCCAAAAACTGCAAAGGAGCAGATTAAACAAGTTAATAAAACAATTGCACCCAATTGTTAAGTTAATAAAACAATTGCAACAATTACATTTGACTAGCTCTGTGAAATCTAGTCATTGGATTAAGATGGGTATATAAATCTGGCTGTTGGGAATTCATAATAAATAAAACTAAAGCACATTGAACTGAGTTGTACTCTCATAATGGAACTAGAGTTCCTCAACTCTTGGATGTATTTATAGAAGTCTCAAGACACTAGAGTAATGACTTGGCAACCTTACTGTATTTTGAAGCGTATACAAAGGCAGCTAGGTCCAAGTCTGAGAGACAAGGAAATCTTAAAAGTAGGATAACGAAGCATGGTCAGAAAAATGACTAATTACAAAACAGGGATTTGTGTACGATAGCCATAAATACCTGTATATAATTGACTGGGGGGTGGGGATAGGAGAAAGGTATGCTTCCAAATAAGCAGAAAAACAAGAGCCCTGCTTTTATCACTAATGATAAGGATGATACCCATGAAGTTTGGTATTAAAAATGGGATATATTACTAATTATCAATATATTTCAGAACTCTGAATACATGTTCAATAAGCAGGAGCCAAGTTGGAAATACAAAATCTTGTGAAACAGAAAGATACCGTCAGCTGAATAATATGTGCTTCGAGGAGCATTAATGAGCCTTTTCTCTGTTTGCTTCAGCCACCAGGCAGCCATTCACTAGCAAGAACAGTTTCAAAGATGGGATTGCTGCCAAACTGCTGGGTCAGCACAAGGCAGAGAGGCAGACAGAAAAGCACAGGGCTTATGCCAGTAAACTGCTGTAGAATCTTGGTCTGGAAAATTACCAAGCATTTTATTTAAGAATTTCATAACATCTGGTTCTTTTTTCTCCAGTGCCTCTTTATGAGCCTTTACAAATGGAGAAGTTCTGAAAGGCAATTTCCATATGCTAACGCTCTCATAGCACTGAATGAAAAGGGAAAAGCTAAATCAGCCTGTGTATATTCTGATATGTTACAGCTGTTGGGAACCTTGCTGTAAAGTGCAGCTCTGCTGCCAGGATTGGAATGGGAGAGAAATTTGTTCCATTTGCAGAATTGCCCCAGTTTTGCTGGGTACAAATTTCAGCACCTGTTTCTGGGCTGTGCCAGAGGCTCGTCAGTAATAAGGAGCTAATAGTCAGTGTTGTTTTAGCAGAGCATAGTGGGGGGCAGTTGTTTTTCCAACGGCAATAGGAATTGCCTGGCATTTCAAAGGCACCAAATATTCTTGAAGTGAAATTCAAAACTAAAAGCTTGTTAGTAAAAGTTGGGAGTGTGTTTAGGGTTTGGGGCAGTGAGCAAAGTAGGGGAGCGAAGTAATTTTCTCATCTCTGATAATAATCTCTGATAATTAGGTGGTTAACAAAAACTTTAAAGCTGCAGTAGTCATCACACTTGCCTCATGATTGAAAAATGATGATAATTTATTAACTTTGAAACTGAGCAATGCTGCACATTAGTTGTGGTATTATCTTTGTTAAGCTAGAGACAGTAACATAATAGAGGTTTGCCATCAGGGAGGTTTACATGCTAGGAAGTATAGGGTTTGTTTGTTTTTAACAGCACAACATTAAGATTATTAGGGGGAGGGAGGATTCTAAAAATTTGTGATCTTCATAATGTGCCTTGATTGCAAAGCAGTTATATGCTCGTGTAAGGGACTGTGATCCAGCTGAGGTTCATAAAGGCTCCCATAACCTATCAGAAGGTGGAAGCATTCTGTGAGCAGATTTTCTGTTCATGAATCTCTGGAGCCAATCCATGATTAATTCAGCACCCCCCTCAAATATGGTTATGGAAGAGGGGGGAAAGTTGCATTTAAACTTTAATTTACAGATAGGTAGCCGTGTTGGTCTGCCATAGTCAAAACAAAAAAAATTCCTTCCAGTAGCACCTTAAAGACCAACTAAGTTAGTTCTTGGTATGAGCTTTCGTGTGCATGCACACTTCTTCAGATACACCTTCTCACCCCTTGCTTTTCCCTGTAAGACCTATTGCAGTCGTTAAGAGTTGTCAACAGGCTCATCACAGCTATCTGCCAATCACCCATTCCCACCACCCTTCTGAGTAATACCCCTCCCCACCTTCTCACTATATAGAAGGATCTGGCAACTTCTGTTTCAGTGTATCTGAAGAAGTGTGCATGCACACGAAAGCTCATACCAAGAACTAACTTACCGTATTTTTCGCACCATAGGACGCAGTTTTTCCGTCTTAAAAACTAAGGGGAAAAGTCTGCGCGTCCTATGGTGCGAATGCGGGGGGGGGGGAGGCAAGCAAGAAAAGCCCGCAAGAGCCACACACAAGCTTCGCACGGCTCTTGCGGGCTTTTCCCCAGGAGGGAGAAGGGACTGACGCGGCCAGTCAGTCCCTTCTCCCTCTTCTAGAAAAGCCTTGCGCAATTTGCGCAGTCGTGGGAGGATACGCAAGGCTAAAGAGGAAGCCCGGGCAGTGAGCGCGATCCATCCCGCTCGCTGCCCGAGCTTCCTCTTTAGCAGTGCGCGCCTCTCCAGCCGCAGAAGGCTGAGCAAGGCTAAAGAGGAAGCCCAGGCAGTGAGCACGATCCATCCCGCTCGCTGCCCGGGCTTCCTCTTTAGCAGTGCGCCGCCTCCCACGCGCGCAAGGCTAAAGAGGAAGCCCGGGCAGTGAGCGCGATCCATCCCGCTTGCTGCCCGAGCTTCCTCTTTAGCAGTGCGCCGCCTCCCACGCGCGCAAGGCTAAAGAGGAAGCCCGGGAAGTGAGCGCGATCCATCCCGCTCGCTGCCCGAGCTTCCTCTTTAGCAGTGCTCGCCTCTCCAGCCGCGGGAGGATACGCAAGGCTAAAGAGGAAGCCCGGGCAGCGAGCGCGATCCATCCCGCTCACTGCCTGGGCTTCCTCTTTAGCAGTGCGCGCCTCTCCAGCCGCGGGAGGCTGAGCAAGGCTAAAGAGGAAGCCCGGGCAGTGAGCGCGATCCATCCCGCTCGCTGCCCGAGCTTCCTCTTTAGCAGTGCGCGCCTCTCCAGCCGCAGGAGGCTGAGCAAGGCTAAAGAGGAAGCCTGGGCAGTGAGCGCGATCCATCCCGCTCGCTGCCTGGGCTTCCTCTTTAGCAGTGCGCGCCTCTCCAGCCGCGGGAGGATACGCAAGGCTAAAGAGGAAGCCCGGGCAGCGAGCGCGATCCATCCCGCTCACTGCCTGGGCTTCCTCTTTAGCAGTGCGCGCCTCTCCAGCCGCGGGAGGCTGAGCAAGGCTAAAGAGGAAGCCCGGGCAGCGAGCGCGATCCATCCCGCTCACTGCCTGGGCTTCCTCTTTTGCCTAGCACACCTCTCCAGCCGCGGGAGGCTGCACAAGGCTAAAGAAGCCAACTTTTAAAAAATCTCTCTATCTCTACCTCTTTTTCTTTTTTCGTCCTTTCTCCACCCCCTTATTTTCCTCTGGATCAGTGTTTTTATCTAGATTAACGTTTTAATTTGGAGGGTGGGAATATTATAAAAAAGGAAACTTTGCAGCTTTTATTTTAGTATACAATAAAAACAGATTAAACAAAACACAAGAGAAGGAACTAGCATAGAAGAAGAAGAGAAAAGGGAAAGAGGGAGGATACAAAGCCATTTACCAGAGGTAGATCTTAACCCTTGCCTCACCTGGGAGCTTCTCTGGACAGGAATTCTCTCGGCTTAAGTGGGGTGAGGGAAGAGTGGCAGGTAGGGGGGTACCTACCTAGACAGTGAAGCCACATGTCTCTCCAATGAAAATTGGGAGTGGGCATTGTGTGAAGTGGCTGTGGATCTCCTGCCACAGAAGTGTAGGACTGTATAGAGTTGGGAGGGCCACCCGAGGGTCATCTAGCCCAGCCCCCTCACAATGTAGGAATCACAGCTAAAGAACGCCAGGCAGATGGTCCCCCAACTGCTGCTTAAAAGCCTCCAGTGGTGGAGACCCCCAACAACTTCCGAGGTCACAGAATTGCAGGGTTGGAAGGGAACCCCAGGAGTCATCTAGTCCAGCCCCGGTGGACAGCGGGCACGATCCATCCCGTTGTGCAAGGCTAAAGATGCTGCTCAAGGCTAAAGAGGAAGCCCGCAGCCTGTCCGTTGCTCTTTGGGGCTGGGGGGGGGATAATATTTTTTCCCTTGATTTCCCCCTCTAAAAACTAGGTGCGTCCTGTGGTCCGGTGCGTCCAATAGAGTGAAAAATACGGTAGTTGGTCTTTAAGGTGCTACTGGAAGGAATTTTTTTTGTTTAAACTTTAATGACCATTTCCCCCATTTCTTTTCACCACATCTAGCATCTTGTCAGCATATTGATTATGATCATCAAAGAGAAGATGTTCCAGTGATTGAAACGGACATTAACTTGGAAATATCATTTTCGGAGCAGGCAGCTACGCTCAAAGATGACCCAGCAGGCAAAGTCTTGAAGGGCAAAGAGGATGACACACTCCTTCCTGTAGGTGCTTTTGTGGTCTTGCTTTAATATCTTTCATTCTGTGGGGGTTTCTTATTTATTTATCTTTTGCAGCACCTCCAAAATTACACTTGAGAACTTCAAGTTCAAAGAAATAGAGAGTACTACATATTCAGACATGTAGAATGTTGACGTGTTTTAATCTGGTTTTTAAGCTTATTGTTGATTTTAACTTTTGACTGTTTTTAGATAGTTGTTTTTCACTAATTTTAACTGATAATATTTTTGTAAACTGCTTTGAGGTTTTATTACAAGTGGTGTATAAATATTGTGAAATAAATAAATACATGTTGTTATTTGTGCATGCAAAAATAGTAGAAGAGGTGGCTAAATGGTACAGCCCAGGAACAGTATGCTTGATTGCATTGTTGGTAATGGGGCATTCATGGAAAACGAAGTGTGAAACTGCAGAGTCTTAATCTAGTTTTCTGTGTTCAGTAATGGGCTGGGAAGTGTTCACATATGCAACCTTCACCATTACCACCTGCAGTTTGAAGATTTATAGTTCTAGGAACTATTTTACTACTACAGCTGTTTAGACCAGGCTTTAGGTCCTTTTCTAGGGATGAAAACACTTTCATTTGATGATCAGGTGCTCATTGCTTTAGTCTGAATTTATTTGTCCATCGTTGATTGCTTAAAGAAAGATACACAGTGCTCTTGGCATGCATTCAGTTTTCAAACAGGCAAAAGCCAAATCCACTTTCAAGGTATGGGTAACCCACTTTCAAACACTTCTAAGGCATCAGTAACTCCTCCACCCCTTATTTTGTTACCCACAGAGACCGCAGCCCCACATATACCTCATGTACCTGTGTACAAGTCCCCAGTGAAGCTGTAATTTTAATAATATGCCTGGGAGGGGAGGAAATTTTTAATCTAGGAGTGCAAAAGTGAATTTATTATAGCAAAAAATAATACCTTCCCCAATAATATGCACAATATTAAATGCAGCACGAGCTCCCGCTTCTTTTTGATGCTTGTTAGAGAGTAGACTTTAATGCTATTATTTTAAACTCTTAGAATTTCAGACTGCCAAAAGACAAAACGGGTACAACAAAGATTGGAGACCTTGCCCCTCAGGATATGAAGAAGGTCCACGCTCTGGCACTAATTGAGCTGACGGCTCTCTTTGATATACTTGGAACAGAACTGAAGCCACAAAAAGCAATAAAAATCAAAACCAAAGGTTGGTTTCTTCCATTTGCAGTGCTACAATGTTGATGTGCATTTCTATATGTGTAATCTTTGAGGTCACTTTTTTGGTTTCCCCATGAAAACTGTAGAAAGTGGGGCAAAAATGAAGTAAGGTCATTGTGACTTCCCATTTGCTTTGGCGGGGTGCGCTATACACGCATTGCATTGCATCGCATTGCATCGCATTGCATCGCATCGCATTGTATCGCATTGTGTATTCTTGTATTCTAAATGAAGCAGTGGGCCTCAGGTATCCACTGGGGGTCAACAGAACCTGCAAACCAAATGCATTTGTTTTAAAGGGTTGTGGCTTGGCGTATGTAGTCAGGTGAGAAGGATGGGTACAATCCATGCCATATGAAGCAGTTTTGCATTCCATCAGGGTTAGTGGCGACCTGTTAAGCATGATCTTAGCTCTCTCATTACTGTCAATGCAACATAATTACATTCAAGTTGCATTGACTGTAATGAGAGAGAGAGATTCAAACTCTGGATGAATCATGCCAAATGGTTGACGAGGCTGCAGCATGAAAAGAAAGGTAGTAGTTTCCAGCCACCCTTATTTCTAGGAATATATCACTTCTTCCTACTTTAAACCTGATGGAGTGTTTCACTAAGCTAGTCCTTAATGCTGTCATGCTTGTTTCACTGCTTGAACGTTTCATTTCTTTCCTTTGCCTATCTTTAGAAGCTTAACTCTAAAAGTGCTCTCAACCATGATTTATTTTTGTTTGTGGAGAACCATCCATATTGATTATGATCTATAGGGCGGCATGAAATAACTTAACATGACTGCACTTGGAGGCTCTCAACAAAATTGTAATTTATGTTACATAACAATATAATTGCAGTGTTCCTATTCTAGGCAAACGCTTTATGAAAATTACAGTTTTATGACCTTTTCCTGTGGTTTCTACTTTGGCATGAGATTTCGTTCCAGTTCTGGGGTGTGTGTGTGAGTGAGTGATGGCATCCTTCATCAGAGCAAAGGCGGCCTGTCAGATTTTCAAAGCATGTAATTTTATCCAAATGAGTAACTTCTTTTTCTTTATTTGTTTATAAGTCTTCAGTTATACTCTCATATCATTCTCCACTCCTTATACAGGGATTCTTTTTGGACTTCCCAACCAACAGTCCAAATTGGTTTTTTATATATATTTTTACCTTTAATATAGATATGGGCAAATGGGAACATTTTGAGGTCACCAAGTTATATGGCATAATATCAAGTCCTTTTCCTATTAAAAAAGAGGAAAAGCAACGTTGCTTCCCCGCTCCTCTCATTGAATATACAAAAGTGTATATAGGTAATGCATGCATATATCTGTAAAGTCAACATCTTGTAAAATAGGCTTGGTTTAGTGTGGGGAAACTCACAAAAGAACAGAATTTTTATTGGGGCAAGTTGACCACTAAGACTGATTTTGAGATTGTTGACTTGCAAATTTATGTGTATTTGACTGTATATATTTGAAAATTCTCCATTAACATTTTCATTGTTTTAATTTAGTTTCAATTGTATGTTTTAGATGTGACCTTTACAGTTTAAAAGTTTTATTTTTAAACCGAAGTTTTGTATATTTCCAGATTAGCTTCTAGTGAGTACAGCCCTGGTTAAACGCACTGGACTGGGAATATTTTATTTATTTATTGGTTGATGAAGAGGATTCCCCCCTTGCTTTCCCTTCAGTCTGAAGTTCAGTGCAGCTTATACAAATTAAAAATGTGTAGAAATAATAAAGCATAATGCAGAGCTAAATTTGAAACAGCAGCATTGCACAGATTTAAAAGTAACCTATGAAATACAGGAAACGTTTCCATTTTGTTAACTGCCTGTATTTCTGACCTTCTCTTTAATGTTTTACAAGGACCTGAAACATGTTACCAGTTAATCAAATATCTTCTTGGGCAAAAACTTGCAGTCAGGGTTCAACAGAGACGACAGTGCAGTAGCTAAATAATTGAAAGCAACTGTGAGTGATGAGGGAGATACAGCTGGGTACAGTTGAGTTCTCTGAATACAATCTTCATTTCACAGCTCAGAAAATAACTTCTTCCAGCCACATCAGGGTAAAGGAACCTTCCCTCCTCCACAACCTTCCATTTTTATATTCTTAAAAAAGCCGTGTCCCGTTAAACATACTAAAGCTATGCCAAATACTTCTTGAATATGGGATATTGCTTTAGGATAGCCATTTTTTCCTTTCATCCCTGGGAAATAGAGGGTCCTCCTGCATTTTTAGGGGCTACAGAGGGACCCTCTTGATTCAGTCCAACTTTTTTTTCCATGTGATTTTTCCTGAGGGTATTCTGATTTGGGAAAATCCCATTGTCTTTCCATAGGAAAAGGGGCTATTGCTCAGGGTAGAGTATTTGCCTTGCATGCAGAAGCTCCCAGGTTCAATCCTCAGCTTCTTGTGTTAGATCTGATAGAGATGGCTGTCTGAAATTCTGGAGAATTCTGCTGGTGGTCTGTGTGGACAGTACTGAGCTAAATGGACCAATGGTCTGACTCAGCAGCCTCCTATAGATGTTCCATCAAATGGTTTATTCTACCATCCCTACCTCAGCACCAGCTATGGTTGGTGACTGCATCACTGTGAATAAAAAGGGCTGTATCCACTTGCTTCATGACTCAAAGACAGCTCCACATGCATGAGGTCCCCTTTGCTTGGTTTTCAGCAAATCCGTTTCTCCTCATAGAACACATCCACACTGTTCACTTCTAGAGAGGTTTTTTGGTGGGGAGGTGTGGTGCTACCAGGGCTGTGGAGATTAGGAGGAGGGAAGAGAAACATCAGTTGTGCAAGCTGCCTTCCACTTGCATAACCATTGGATACAACCCAATACTTAGGCTTGACGGAGGGTACTTCACATGCTCAAAGGCTTGCATATCTTTATCTTGACAACCTTCATAACAGCCCTATTAAAGAAAGACCAGCATTTTTGTTCCTATATTGAAGATGAGCAGCTAAGGCAAAGACAATAATAGTTTGCCTAATGCCCCCTCTAGTGAGAATGGGCCCTGTTCACAGGCCACTCATACAGTAGGAAACAGAAATGACTGAGGTTACAATATTGTACGTGTCAGTGAGCTATTCCAAAGGTTAAATGTTTGGAAGTATGCCTCCTTTTCGTTATTTGTGGTATATTTATTTTTGCTGGAGCCCCTTTCTTGCTTTAAATGTTTGAAAAATCTTAAAAAATAGATACGATAATAGCCAATTAATGCCAAGATTGCAAATTGCAGAAATGTAAAAACAGAAGAATATTTCAATCGTGCTATTTGAGAAGATGAAGTGTACGTAATTCATAGTAGAGGGATGTATGCACCAAGAAATAATGTCTGTTTGAAAATACTATCGACACTTCAATTCGCAATGAATTCTGAAGTGGGTCAGCTTTGTAGGGTTCGTCTGCAACTTTTTGCTTTTAGCTAGCATGCATTATTCAAATATGCAGAGCTGGCTGATGCTGCAACCCTGTGCATGTTTACAGGCAGTAAATTCCCATTGAATGCAGTGGGTCTTACTTCTGGGTGAATATGCATACGATTCAACCCCACTCTGTTCGGTGGGATTTACTCCTTGCTAAGTGTACATAGGATTGGACTGTAAATTGTTTGTCTGGATTTATTAATTATAAACTGTGTTGATCTGAACATAGTGGAGAAGAGTCTGTGAAACCATTTTTCATGTCGTCATAAGCCAATTGTTTGTCTTTTGTTGTTTCATACAGAATCTGGTCTTTTTGGTGTTCCACTGTCAGTTTTGCTAGAACAAGATCAGAAGAGGGTGCCAGGCATCCGGATACCACTAATTTTTCAAAAAGTGAGTACTGTAGGCTGACCAGTCAGTTTCTTCTATACCAGTTAGGTTTCAGCAGAACGCAAACATATAAGGCACCTATAGTTACATCAGTGCACAGAAAAGCTTGTAACTGTTTAGCCACAGCTGCATTCCGGTTTTCAGGAGAACAATTTTTCTATTTTTCAACGAGCATTTTAGTTGCCGCCAACTTGAATTTGAGATACTTTCCATTTTAATTTGCAGCTCATTTCCCATATAGAAGAAGGAAAGCTGGATACAGAAGGGCTTCTTCGAATACCGGGTGTGGCAGCAAGGGTAAAGGTAAACTGATCTTTCAATTCTGGAAAGAGTGTTAGATTAATTACATATATTTTATTAATAATAGTAATAATTTGGTAACTTGTGTTCAGGGGCAAGATCATGAGATCCTTACGACATTTTATAATTATAAGAATCATATCTTAAAAACAATTTTACATTAATTCTTGGACAACTGACTGTGGTTTTGCCAAAGCTGAGTGACTGAGCAGGAATGTGTGTGATAGTCGTTTCCAAAACTTATTTTATTACATTGTGAGTTCTGGTTTGTTCACAAATGTAGGCTTTTTGTATGCGTTGGTATAGGTAGTCTTTTATTGAATTCAGGACAGGGTGAAGGACAATTAACTCTATTCTTCCTACATGTTGACCCTTCATTACTCTGATATTATCCTGGATTGTGGTTAGCCACCTGGGTAAACAAGCCTTTGCTCTTAGTCCCTCTGAGAGCATTTGTGTATGGACTGTTTTTTGTGGGGTTTTTTTGAGAAAAACTTATCCTCTTTTTGCCTTCTACTTCATACCTGATTTTTACCACTGTGCATGTCAAATTTTAAATCTAGAGCAGATGGTTTTCATATTTAGCATCATGTGCATACTCTGGGCCTGCTAATTGTGGATTACGCTTGCATAGAAATCTGCTTGACCTGGCAAAGTGGCTGAATTGAAGCATAGCTCCATTGAGATGAAATAGGCAATAATGGAGTGGGGAGGGTAAATACAATACAAATCCCTGTTGTCCAAACATGCAGAGTGATTGCAAGCCTCTGTTTAGATGGCCAAATAAGCATGCATCCAAGCTCTTTTTGTAGAGAAATGTGTGGAGACCACAGGAGCTATTCATTTAACCTGCTCTGAATGTTGAATTGCAGATAGGTGTCTTGTTAATTTAGGACAGTGATGTCGAAACTTTTTAAAAAGAGGGCCAGATTTGATGAAATGAAGGGCCGTAAGGGCCGACTATAGGGTCAACCAATGTTGTTAGCCTTTTTGGGGGGTTGAAGTTGTTGAGATTTTTTTAGGATTTTACCCTGGGAAATAAACTACCACAGGGGCTGGATTGAATTGAACGGCGGGCCGGATTAGGCCCCCAAAATGGACTTTGGACATGCCTGGCTTAGGAAGATTGGCATCATGTGTTAATCATCTGAAGAGCCATAAATGAATTCAAAACACTTGAATTCAAGCATCTGCAACACTTGATCATATTTCCATAGATGTTGTATAAATAGAGAGCATTTTGATACATGACACTGAATGCACCTTTGCACATCCTCTTTTGCTATTGAATGCTGTTAATGGGCCAGGGAACACAAAGGAGATCCATTGTCAAATGGAGTATCTGTTTCGACTGCATACGTAGCATTATATAAACACAGGAAATACAAAACGTCATTTTTAGCACTACGCCCTGACATATAATTGACATACACCCAAAAACCTAGCTCAGTTTTTTATATTAAAATGTGTGCCTAGTTTTACCGTTGATGGTTTTGGATAAATAAGATGATTTCATATCCCCCTTTTTAAAAAGCGTGTGTGAAGTGCATAAAGACTTTTCAGCTTCTTGTCTTCTAGAATCTTTGCCAGGAGCTTGAAGCAAAGTTTTATGAAGGGACTTTCCACTGGGAAAATGTAAAACAGCACGATGCAGCAAGTCTTCTGAAACTCTTTATTCGAGAACTGCCTCAACCGCTGCTCACTGTGGAGTATCTCAAGGCCTTCCAGGATGTGCAAAGTAAGCATAACTCCTTCTGGTTCAGAATTAGGGGAGTCATTACGCAGAGCAGGCCTTTTTTTCCAGGTCAGCCTTCTTACATCCCTATAGGGAACCTATGGGAGGACTCAGTCATTAACCCCCCCCCCCAAAAAAACATTTCTATAAATAACAAACTTTGTGGAGTTCTGGAGAGCCATAGGGAGAAAAAACCTGTATGGCCTTGCAGGCTACAGGTTAATAACCCATGTTGTAGAATCGCATGTTGCACATACAAGAATTGTGTTCCTACAGTTCTGGAAAATGTTCTCCCTCATAGTCTTTGATGTGGAACAGTCAAACAACCACTTGCATCATTAATCTTTTCTGGGCATGGCTATTCTTCATTGGCAAGCGAGTCCATGAAATTTTCTGCAAAAAGTCCATTAGCTTGCTTGCATCTGAAAACAAATACACTGAATGGTTTTCTATACACAAGTGCCTCTTATTGTTCAGCAAACAATTCAGCAAACAGTAGATGAATTCATAAAATGGTATTTCATAGTGGAAAAAAATCATAATTATGTAGGGCGGGGCTTACCTTCCTCCAATATTTTATTCCAGTTGGCAACCCTGTCTGCCATGATGGCTGGGTTATCAGTAAACATTTTAAAGAAAATGTCTACATAGAGATTTTCAAGCTTGCTGAACACACCTAATGATGTTGTTATTGGTTGTAATTGCTGCCTTAGAAATCCTCCAGAGATGTGGGACTCCCATACTACATTTAGCACCACAAATGACTTGCAATGCAGCAATACCAGAAGCATGGTCAGCAAAGAGCATTGTGCTTCAGTGAGCTTTTTAGCATGTGACACTAAGCTATTCTTTTTACTGACTGTCATAAATTCCTTTCATAGTCGTGGGCATAAATGGATGTTTCATCTGTGAAGGATTTTTCTTGGTCTACTAAATATTGTATTAATAAGCATTACATTATGAAACAAAGTAGCAAAAGTAAGGCATTACCAGGGAAATCATGAATCCCAAAATTGGTAATAATGGATCTTGTGGCAGTTGAGTCATGAAGCAGAATCGGAAAACAAGATGCTAGGTGAGGCGACTGCCTCATGCGGCAGGATCCACAGGGCTATCAATCCCAATGTAGATGTTTATACTTCCTTTGTTCCTGATGTTGATGTTCACCTCCCCTTCTTACCTGACGGGGAGTGGGGTGCCATTTTGTGGTTTGCCTGAGGTGCCAAAATGTCTTGGTTGCTTTTTACCTGTGAAGATAACCAAGAGAAATCCATAAACATTAATATTTTTGAGGAAAATGCAAAATGATTCAAAAACATATTCACAAACTGAGATTTGCATGTTTCACTGACAGAACTTCCAACGAAGAAGCATCAGCTGCAAGCACTGAATCTTTTGGTCCTCCTTCTCCCAGACGGAAATAGAGATACTCTTAAGGTTAGACTTGAGACTTCACCATTAAAAAAACAGTTCTGCAATTACTCTTCTACCCACAGCAACTAGGGCTACTCCCCTCTTTTCTTCCTCCCCAGTTGGGGTTCCAGAGCCATGCTTCTACCACAAGGATAGGCCTGGAATCTTGATTGCGGGAAAGGTGTAAGTGTGGGGCCTAATTCTTGGCACCACACTTCAAAGGAGAATGTGGACAAATTAGAATGGTTTCAGAAAGGATGGTTGGGAGTATGGAAACCTTTCGTTTGAGGAGAGGTTAAGGGAATGGGGTATGTTCACCCTGAATAAGTGGACTGATATGGTAGCACTCCTCAAATATCAGAAAAGCTCTCACTTGTTCTCTGCTGCCTCAGATCTAATGGGCTTAGAAGATAGCTATCAGTTCAACATTAGGAGAAATCACTTGACCATAAGAGCAATTTAGCAATAAAACTAATTAACTAGAGGGATGATGGACTGTTCCAGACTGGAGGTTTTCAGCTAGGGTCTGGACAGCCACTGATGGATACTCTAGATTTGCTGCTAGACTAGATGGCCTACAAGGTCCCTTCCCAGGCCCATAATAAATCTCACAACCACTAACACAAATTTACCTTTAAGGAGTGAGGCAGCCCAGAGATAGGGTCACTGCTGGTCTTGCAAAGAACAGAGTACAGCTAAACAAAATCTAGGGCAACCTTGAATATGTGATATATGCTTGACCTAGTCAAACATATATTCATTAGAAGAAGGATAGCCAGTGTGGTTTCCTACAGATGTTGGTGGAATCCAACTCCTATCACCCTGACCATTGGCCATGCTGGCTTGGGCTCATGGAACTTGTAGTTAAACAAGGCTCGTTTAATTTCATTGTACACAGGTTGTACAATGACAATAAAGGTATTATTATTATTATTAGAGGACACCATGTTGGCTATCTCTGATCCAGAATAAAGATTTCAGATGCCTACCTTTCTTTTTACTGAAGGTAAAAGGAAGTTGACTTTGATTTTTGGAGAAATCACTTGTTTAGTTTAACCACTGAAGTTACTAGTTGATTTAACGCTGTGTACATACTAGAATAAACTTTTTAAAAAGCGCACTATTTGAGCATGTTTCTTGTTTGTTTGCACATGCCTACTTTGCCAATGCTGTTCTCATTTTCAGGCACTGCTTGAATTTCTTCAAAGGGTAATTGATCACCGAGATAAAAATAAAATGACCCTAAAGAATGTTGCCATGGTTATGGCTCCAAACATCTTTATGTTTCATGGTTTGGGCTCAAAGAACACAGAGCAAAGCGAGTTCGTTATGGCGGCTGGGACAGCAAATGTCATGCGTTTTATGATTAGAAACCAAAACCTTTTATGGACTGTAAGTTTGTTTAAAAGTGCTTATTGTCATTAGAGAAGAGCTTTCCAAATTTTTCATGTTGGTGACACAATTTTTAGACATGCATCATTTCACAACATAGTAATTCAGTTTTACTAACTGGAGGTTAAACTACAGCAACCCCTTTCCAGCCCCAGGAGGAGTGTGGGGAGCGTTCGTGCAACATACCTACACACTGCGGCCAACACACTAACGTGTCGTGACACACAGTTTGGAAAGCTCTGCATTAGAGAATTGTCTCAAACAGAAGGGCCACCATTTTACAAATTTTACTGAACATACACACAAAAACACACACAATGCAAATGACTCTATTCATTCTGAGCAGCTGGATGTAAGAGCTACATAGATATACAAATTTAATAAATAATAATAATCATAATATTGAGCTGTTTTGTGTAAAAAAAAAAGAAAAAAGGTCAGCGTAAGCTATAAAACATGCCTGTTTAATGTAGTTCAAAATATGGATGGCGTACATAATTCCCCATAGGAATATTTACAGAATGAATCCTCGTGTGTTTTAGAAAATTGTTTGCATATTTTACTCATGACGAGAGTAAATAGCCCCTACTTTGTAAATGTTATTTTGTATTTCAGAACAAACAATAACTTATTTATTATATTTAAGTATTTATATGCTGTCCTTCATTAGATTTGGTTTCGGAACTATATACAAGCTAAAAATATAAAAATACAATAAACCAAATAAAAACACCCAACATTTTTTTTTAAAGCTTCACTGAAGGAAAAGAGATTTTCTCTTCTAGAAATGTAACTGTTATATTATTAATCATGTTTAAGTGGTTGTAGGCTGCCTTGAGTATGCATTACACAGAAAGACAGAAAATAAATTCTAAGAATGAATTATACCATTAGTGCCATATTTTGTTATATCTTGGTTATTTCCATATGTGTTGAAAGCTTAGTTTTGCCCTTCTGTGGGTTTATTCACACATGCAAACAACAATATGGAAGGCAGAGCACCATTCATGAGAAACTGCTTGCAGGGCAGTCTGATTTCACGACACCAATATAGACCTGTTACTTGTACAAAAACTGACATGAGATGAAAACCTTATATGGTTTTGCTATGAAGAGCTTCTGTGCAATTATATTTCATACTGTTTCTTTGCATCTATCATTTGAGTCTCATTTTTAACAATATAATTCTGTTCTTGCTTGACGTAAATATTGGTGTTTGATATTCCATATTTGATATGTCTTGTCATTAGAAGAATATAAACATTTGTTTATAGAAGCCGACTGTATCAATGGTGTTAATAATAGATTTTATGTCTGCTTAGATTCCTACATTCCTTGTGAACCAAGTAAGAAAGCAAAATACTGAAAGTCAGAAAAAGGAGAAAAAGGACAAAGCTGTGAAAAAATTGCTGAAGAAAATGGCTTATGACCGTGAAAAACACGAGAAGCAAGATAAAAATGTCAATGATGTAAAAAGCGTCAATGAGGTAAGCAAGTAACTTTCAGTAAATTAGAGTAGGTCATCGTCTTCTTTGGCGATCGCTTGTAGCCGAGTAAGATTGTCTTCCATAAACACAGTTTTAACAATGAGTCCGTAAGTGACTGTGGAGGCCAATTTTGGACCCACACGTCCTTCCACAGTGGGGACATAGGTTTCCGGGCCAGAGTTAATCACGGTTGGATTTGCCAAGCGTGCCTTCCTCTCAGCATGTTTCTCCCTTGCGTCCTGAGTTGGAGTGTCTTCAAAGCCCATGACACCTTTGGTAAAGGCTGTTCTCCAATTGGAACTACCAGAGCTAGTAGTAGTGATAAAATAGCAGCGCTGCCATATTTACAATTTGCCTTTTCTTGATGAATAAATGTAAATATCTGAAAAACATGATCTTATTTAAACATTGCCTTGCCTATTAGCAAAGAAAGGTTTATAACATGTATTTAGTTACTAAGATAATCAAAATGGCTAGATGTTCCAGTTCGGAAGGCCTATATTTTGCAACACTTGAACGTTCCAAAGCGCTTGCTTACTGTTGCGAAACTGTCATGGTTCAGTCGTACCTAGCTTTCTTGCTTCACTTTCAGAGTGAAAGGTAAAAATTCATGGCCCTGAGCAAGGATGTAAAATGAAATGATTGAAGTTTATTTCTTCTTTCAGTTTGGCATCCAGATTAGTGCACCACATAATAAATGCCAATAAACAATAAAGTGATTTTAGAACACAGTCTCTAAAAACAGTCATGGAAGTATCTGTAAGAACAGCAGCAGAAGAAACCAAATCCATTCCCTTTTTAAAGTATGGAAGATATATAGTTTTAAAAAGGTACAAATCAATTCACAGTCACTAGCGTTTTGGGGTAAACACTTGCTGGTCTGTTGTTCTCGATTGGTTAAACATAACTTTGTCTCTAATTAATTATATCCAGCCTGTGTTAAGATCAAATATCAGAATACATACATGATCTGTATTCTGAATGCAGATTCTCTTTGGATGTGTGTAGCCCATCATTAACTAAAGTCATATTCACAATTTAGTGAATTAGAGACATCTTGTGGAAGAATGCAAAATTGCACTGGCTCATCACGTTATAATAATGATTATTCATTATAATCTATTGGCATATTGGGGGCGAAACTGGATGTGGTGATGGTAGGCATTTTTGTTACAAATTTTTGGGGTGTTTTGTATTTAACTTTTAAATATAAAATAAGAGCAGGAGTTAAACCTTTTCCCAGTTTAATTCCTTGTGCTCCATCATTCCAGTTTCTGACCTGGCTGGGGGAGGGAGTTTGGGGGACAAAGCATCCGACAATAAAGCAGAAAAGGGTTCCCCTACCCTTATCCCCACTGTGGCCTCTTGATGTTAAAATTAGGCCCTATAGCTCACTGCTTCATATGTATCTAGGGCACAGCATGCAGAATCCTCAAAATTTGGTCAGCTCTCTTAATTGCAGCAATTTCAAAACTAAAATTTAAAACTGAACTCTCTTGGAAAATACGAAGTTGTTATTGTTTATGGGCTTGGATAGTGCAGCATGCCATGTGCTTTGTATGTAGCTGTATAGACAAGAGGGAACCTCAGGAGAGTAAGAAGATCTAGCACCTTCTCCGATTCCCTTTTCCCATTGTCTTTTAATGAGTGTGAGCCCTGCACTCTTTGTCCCTGATCACCGCAGTACAAGTCAAGGTGACTCAGACTGTCACCTGACGGTGTAACAGGAAGGCAAGTGGAGCTCATTACATAGCATGCCTTCAGCGTGTTGTGTAAACATCTACTGGATATAGCTGGCTTCAGTCATTTCAGGCCATCTTGATACTGAACAAATTATTTCTCAAGGCCAGTGTTGGCCAAACTTGGGTCTCCAGCTGTTTTTGGACTACAACCCCCATCATCCCTAGCTAACAGGACCAGTAGTCAGGGATGATGGGAATTGTAGTCCCAAAACAGCTGGAGACCCAACTTTGGCCAACGCTGGTCTAGACCTATCTAGAAATGGCAAAAGTCAGCTTGGCCATTAGGAATATAGAGTGCTGCAGTAAAGTAGGGGTGGATCCTTATCTCTTCCACCCTGTGTCAACCAACCTGTCAGTCCCCTGGGACCAATCATAGTGGTGTCAGTGGACCTGTTTTCCTTGTCCATGTGGCTTGAAATCAAACTGTTGTGGGTAAAGGCAGTGCTTTGAAAGGGAATCATCTGATGGGGGGGGGGGCTTGCAAAGGACTGTACGTCCTCAGCTTCCTGATCAGTAGCTCTGCTGATCCCAGTGTAGCTGATCCCAGCTGCCAGCACCAGTCAGCTGATAGGTACTGACAGCAAGTCCCCGTCAGCTACACTGGGGAGGTTCCAATGAAGGGAACTCTGTGGATCTCGCTGTTGGATAAGCACAACACTTTGCAACCACCAACAATTGGCACCAACATATAGCATCAGTCGTTGGGCAAGTGGCCGTAGTTTGGGGGAAATGGCCTTGTAGGCCATATTGGGACCCATATCAGGCCTGCAGGCACTAAAGGAAGGCAGCATAAATTATGATTATTATTACAGTTTCTGGAAGGAGTTGGAAGCTATTGGTTTCTTGCCCTACACATTAATAGGAAGACTTTGTAACCCTCTACATATAGCTTCCCAACTCACCTATCCCTTATTATCTGTGCCTCTCTTCTGTAATAAAAAAAGAGTTTGTATTTTCTTTTTTTTGCAAGATGAGAAGTGGATACCACCTGCTCTGCTGGCACTCCTAATGCTTTCTTTCCCATTATTAAATCTAGTATATGAGAAGCCAGGCTATAGTAGCAAAAACCTTCCAGGGGTTATCCAAGGATTACAACTAATAAGATAGGTTTTAATAAAATTTTATGTAGGATGTGTTGGATTTTAAAGAAGGAAAGAGCCCTAAGATTTTAAAAGCAATTTCATTTTATAATTTGATATGAGATAGTTCATTCAGAATTTGAAATTAAACTCATTTCTTCACATTTTGCAATTAAGAGTTGCATAAAAGCTTTTCTTTAGGTCTGTAGTATAACTAAAAAGAGAATTCACATTTGGTTAAAAAATCTAATTGGTTCAGAAATGTTCTTATAATAACCTAAGGTACAATTAAGAATAATATTTTGTTAGTTTCCGGTGCACAACAGGATCCGATTAATGTGCAAATGTAATACCACAAAAGCATGCTTCATAATGTGCCCTGACTGTGCAAATGTGGTAGTAACAATGTAAAATATAGGCATCTGTAAGCATTTTGCAAAATTGTATAACTGGTAATTCCCACCCACCCTGCCATCATGCTCTCCATACAATATCCCTAACTTGAGTATTCAGTACGTGAGCTGTCCCAACTATTTATTCTTCACTATGGTTGGAGAAACTCCTCAAAGCCAGCTGCAAGCTGCTCCATTCCAATTCCATTATTGCTTTGCAGGCTGATGTTCCTCAGGGAGTAATACGGGTGCAAGCGCCTCATCTTTCCAAAGTTTCCATGGCAATCCAGCTGACGGAAGAACTAAAAGCTTGTGATGTTGTGGCCAGGTTCCTCAGCCAAAAAAGGTACAAGCATTTCTGTCTCTCATTTTCCCCCAAACTCCTCCTCCTCCTCCTCCTCCTCCACCACCACCACCACCACCACCACCTCCTCCTCCTCCTCCTCCTCCTCCTCCCCTTCTTCTTCTTCTTCTTCTTCTTCTTCTTCTTCTTCTTCTTCTTCTTCTTCTTCTTCTTTGTGTTGACTTGATTCTACAGCAAGAAAAAAAACAAATGCACCCTGACATAATTAAGCTCAAGGGACCAGTGTATATTTAGGGCACGGTGCTGTGGGTCTCTGTGAGGGCATCTTGGGGACTATAGGATTCCGCAAATCACCTTTGTGGACCTTTGAGTATATGAGTTTCTACAAGTAATTTTGTTTCCATGCACTTCATTGTAGCGTGTAGCTCCTTTTTCTAATCATCCCAATATGAGATGTTTATTCAGTAAGTTAACAGATGGAGAAAGATAGCAAGATAATTTTAGCGCACTGGCAAATCTCCTGAGCTGTAGAGCGTTTTCCTAAGCACATCTAGTAGCTTTCGGTTGCAAGTTATTTGGTACTCTGCTGAAAAAATTGTTGCATTCCTTTGTAGTGGGATCGTCCAGTCTCTGAAGAAAGAAGAAGTGTTTTTATATGAAGTTGGAGGGAACATTGGTAAGGCTCTTTACACTGTAGACTTGGTGCTGGTTTCAAACTTTGCTTAAAGCACATATTGCAGCTAGAATGACCTCATACAGGTGTATGAGTAATTTCTTGCATGGAAGTGCCCCCAATACCTATTGTTTTGGAAGTGACGTATGTCAAGAATTAGGCTAGAAGCTTTCCCCTGATGTGCAGCTTTGAATGTACAGGAGCAGGAAGAGCGAGGTGAGGATTTATTGGCAATGTGTGTCCTCCTGCAGTGGCAGCCAATGAGGATTGAGGGCTGTATTAATCAGCACTGCCTCAAAAAACAGGCAATAGGTTTGTAGGGAGCTCAGTACCCACCCACTCTCCCTTTAGCCACGGTATGGTATTAACTGGCCAGCTTCAGAGGTGAGTAGGATTCTCAGCAGGGGAGATGTATTGCACAGGGCCTAATTAATTAGATTATCATTATACGTTCACAACTGCTTGAACAGTACAAGTAAAAGAGAGAGCAGTAAAGATTGGTGTGCTCCTTAAGGTGAAACATAAAGTGACCATCCTTTCAAGACAGTTGGGGTGAGGAAGCTGGGGGCATGCTGGACTTGCCCATCTAAAAGTAACTGGCTTGGAGGGTGAATTTAGTATGGATTCCCTGAGTGTACCACAAAGCGTGGCAGTTGACCACTCAGTGGTTTTTACTGCTTCTGTCTCTGTACCAGTGTGGAACTCACTTAGAATTCAGCATCTGATCCGCTGAGATCACTGTGTGATTAGGTGTTATGGTTTGCTTCAGTTATTAACTCAATCAGAGTTAATAAAGTTGTGGTTTTGTTTTATCCCTTGGTTGGTCCTCATTTCCTCTGTTTCCATAATCCGATGCATGTTGACACAGAAACAACTTCCACTAAGCTCAATAGGACTTATTCCTATTTGCATACAGTCTTAATCATTTTCAAAATAATCTGTAGTTTTACATAATATATGTGTTTTCCTAACAGGTGAACGCTGCCTGGATGATGATACCTACATGAAGGATTTGCATCAGCTAAACCCAAATGCTGAGTGGGTTATAAAATCTAAAAACTGCTGACTTTTTTTAAATTTACAAAGAGATAACTGTAACTGATTTTTGTAAAACTAATGTTCACGTGTACCAAAATAAAAGCGTGATGTATTCATTGGATACATCACAAATATTGCACTGTTAAGGGGCATTGTCAGTGCTGCAGTTGGCTTACAGAAAGCCTTCTCCCTTTCTCCCAAGTCAATGCAAACTACTGTAGCAAAACTGGTAGGGCAAGTAGCTGTGTGATCTTAACTGATTTTGTTGCACAGGAACAGTATGTACAGAACTTTTTTCTTATGGGAACCATTGTGCCTTTGGTATGGTCCCATCTAATTCCCATTACTTTCAGATTGCTTGTTATGGCTTCATTTCTCCAATGAAGGGTCAATTTTCTTAATGAAGACATCTGTAAAAATTAGATGTTCCTTCATTGGGCCATCCAAATTATAAATGGTGCTTGTATTCCCTATGTAATCAGGACAATAGTGGCACAAAGAGTGCCACACAAACTTACTACATGCATTTGTTTAAGTCACACAAAACCATGTACCTACCCTTTCTGTCCCCAGAAACACATTTATATGGGAAAGCTAATGTGACATAATACTGACAAAACTATCTTTACCTGGAAACAATTCCTGTGATCATTGTGATGAAAAATGTATTGCTATGAAGCCAGTATACCAAAGAAAATCTCTGTATTACCACCCTAGATTCCACAGTCTTCTCAATTCTTAATGAGCTGCTACAAATATAAGCATTCTAGGGAAAGGAAATATATATGGAACTTAAGTTCCATAACATATTAGGCATTTCCTTCATAATTCCATGTTGACAATAGTGTGAAAATTTGAATATAGATGCTTCTGTGTGATGAGTGCAATACTCACACTGGGAAATCTATGCAGGTTGGGAAAAGAATAATATGTATAGTGTCTCCATGTATGGTATTAATGTGACTAGTCATATCAATGATCATCCAAGGGTCAAATATCCCCCCAATGTCTTAGACATATGCACAGATAATGTTTTCAATTCAGTATTGTCTAAAGTCAGTGAAGTCCAAAGATAATATTCATGACCTTTTAATTCCAGCATACTCACGTTGAAGCTTACAGTGTAGTCGTTGAGCACACTGTTGTGCATTCTGTGCAGATTAACATGGCTGAAAGTCTCACAATGAAAGGTATGGCCTTGGGCTTTGCTTAAGCATTCTCTTAACAACAAAGTTGTCATCAAAGGCGATTCACTTGTGGTTGAACATTAAGATGTGTTTTTCTCCCTACAGTGGAAGGGGTGAGGCTAATTGTATGTAGATGAGCATTTACCTTACGTAGGTGGGGCTCACAGCAGATGTCTGCAAGGACATGTTGACCTTTGCATTTTGTTCTTCAGAAACAAAATCAACAGAAATTAAGCTTGTATAAATAATGACAAAAAGAGGATGAAATGTATTACTGCTAGGATGCAAGTCTTAAGATGCCTTCCTATTTTCAACAAGGGAGTATTACTGACATTCATTTTTGGCAGTAGCTATGAGCTCTTGCACCACCGACAAACCATGTGCTCCCGTGTCACTGAAATTATTCTAGCTTATCTTGCTCCACAATTAATAGGCTATCAGAAGAGTCAGATGTTCAGAGGCACAAACCTCAGTGGTATCTGCACTTGCAACATTCCCAGGGAACTGCAACCTAATCTCCTGCCATAAAATGACTGTATTGGTTTTCGAAGCCTCACCCTTCATGATCTGGTACTTTGGTGGGATTTGACTGTTTCAGGTCAGTAAAGTAGGGAGAAGAAAGCTTGTCCAAGCAGGAACTAGCTAGCACAGGGAATCTCTGGCCCTCCTGGTGTTTTTGGACTCCCATCATCCCTGGCCATTTGTCATGCTGGCAGGGGCTGATGGGAGTTGTAGTCTGACAGCATCTGGAGGGCTGTGAATCCTGCATCCTTAAGGTGGAAACTCCTGGAACTCTTATCTCTCCTGCCACAGTCCACATGGCTACCAGGATGGCTAATAGTTTATGAATCTAGAACCTAGTTTAACAGGTAATACAAGATGCGTAATGCAACCTTTGTAATACTTTACAGTCTGTAGTTGCTGCAAATCAGACTTAATTGCAAGGGAAATTTTAGGTATTTGAATCAGAAACAATTACTGCTGCTGGGAACAGCTGTAGTGGTCATTAAACTACAAATGGCCTGTAGATTTGATTTTTTTAAAAAATAACTTTTGTTGCAGGGTTAGTGCCATTTTTATTACTATTTGAACAGCTCTTTTATATATGTAAATGAATTTTCATAATCTAATTTGATTTATGAGGTGTATACGTGGAGTATACACAACAGACACACTGACTAGTTAATGGGGAAGGGTGGGGAGTTACCACACTTGTGTAGATTTGTACATAAAATGTTTCAGATGAAAAATGGTGAGTCTGTGTTTTCCTTTTCTGTGTATGTGTGTTGTTGCATAGGGCACATCACCAGGTCTTTGAAAACAGAAGTCTCTGGGGGGCGGGGGGGGGGGAGCAGTCCAAAGACCTGTCTCTGCACTGAATAATGACACGCATATGCAGTCAGATCCTTGTATGCCATTTAATTTAATACAATGTGACATTTACCTAGTTCTGTATTTACAGTTGAAGGTATACAGTGGTGCCCCGCAAGACGAATGCCTCGCAAGACGGAAAACTCGCTAGACGAAAGAGTTTTCCGTTTTGGAGGTGCTTCACAAAACGAATCTCCTATGGGCTTGCTTCGCAAGACGACAATGTCTTGCGAGTTCCTGCTGGTTCCCCCCCTTTTTTCTAAGCCGCTAAGCCACTTATCAGCTGATCCGATCAGCAGATAAGCCGCTAAAAGCCGCTAATAGCGCTAATCCGCTAATCCTTCAATGGGCTTGCTTCGCAAGACGAAAAAACCGCTAGACGAAGAGAATCACAGAACGGATTCTTTTCGTCTTGCGAGGCACCACTGTATATTTAAACCTGGGCCCCAGTGGTCACCACTGCATCCTCAGACATCTCCCAAGCCAGAGCTGCTTGCCCCTCCCAATGTTACAATTTAAATTGAAATTGCTTCTTTTTTGTTTGCATGAGGGGTGTTGTTTGGTTTTTTTGTCTGTATTTTATTCGTTTTGGGGCTGTGTGGGAGTGTTTTGCCTACTGAATACAACAGGTGTGATGAACTTCTGGTTTGTAGACTGGTCTTTGCTCACCAGTAGATCTAATTTGGCCCACGAGGACATTTACCCCGAGCCACATCCGCCTGTCAGTCAGCTGAGGTCACTGGGGTTCAATCCTGCTGGCAAAACAGACCCCTGCAGAGAGCAGAATTGGACTGCACATTCATCAGTTGCTGAGCAAAAAGTTCAATCATTGCCCTGGATGATTGAAAGATGGGTGGCCTTATGAGATGGAGGGAGGGGAGGAGAACTGTCCCCCAGGCAAAAATGATTTCCCACACACTATATGCAAGCTATTAATTTACAGCACTTGGTTTCCATGTTTTTGCTATGCCTTTGGTATTTGAGTCTCACGTTGACATGCTCCTTCCCCTTCCTTGGTTCATTTGGGAAAGTAGCCACAGTGAATAGCAGAAGTCTATGCCCAAGTCTAAATGATGACACGTCTGTTTGATTGTTTTTAAATCCAGCAACCAATATGCTCAGTTTCTGATTTGTTTTTGGTATACTCCATCTTCTCATTTGTTTCTGGTCCAAACAATTGTCTTGAACTTTCTCCATTTTTATTTGTGGGACTTTTCTTTACAGCCTCCATAGGTGGCAGCATTGCTCCACAGCTGAACTCAAAGGTGAAAAAGCAAACACCCAGAATTGTGAAATGGTTGAAATATTCTTCGAGTTTGTATGGAAACCCTGGCATTTATTGATAAAGTGGCTCTCCTTCAAGAATGCCTGGACGCAGGAGGCAAATGTATTAAAGATACAAGATCTTAACATGTGGTTGCTGAATATCCCTTAAGTAGAAAATGTAAGAGGTATGCATCAAAATACAAATTGGCATGGCTTGAATTGGTGATGGAAATTGTAATCTTGCTTCAGCATTGCTGACACTTGCATCTCATTTTTGCAAGGTCCACCTAACTGTGGCAGACTTCGCCTTTTAAACCTGTCAGTAACAGTGAGAAGCATCATTCATTTCGTACGGTTTATTTATTCCTGTTACCTGCAGCATCTGTTTGTGCTGTTCAGTTAGCCATTAGTCTGCTTTATCTGACAATGTAAGTATTTTTTTTAAAGTAGCCTTGGAGAGCAGTAGTAATTTAATATTGCACAATCATTGGGAGACCTAACAATTTGGTGGTACCATTTTAAAGAAGAACATTATTGCCTTGTTCTCAAATATAGACCCAAAAAAGGTGTAATGGAATTTAGTACCTGCCTTCTACAAACTACATATTGTATTTTATTTAGAATTTTATATGTGTATAAATTGGTTAAAGAATTCCTAAGCAGTGTACAGAAAAGCAGGGTACGGTTATGTTATTCAACAGAAAGGGGTTTGAGTGGGAAAAGATAACAAGGGTCTTTTCCCTCTTCCTTAGAGGGTTGATGATTAAGCATTAATACAAATATCACTTACTCAGTGTTTCTGAAACACACTGCAAAACCTATACACCAGAGAGGTTAGTGGTGTCAAAATGTTAACAGCATAGCAGTGGGCGACATCCAGTGATGTCTGCCTGATTGCACAATGGAAATCTGATCCTGCAACAATTCCCGTTTCTCTTCTCTCTGCCTCCCAGAACCTTCCACATGCCCTCAAAAAGTGCTATGGGTGTATTCCAACCACCCACGGCAGATTTGGGGGCAGGGAGAGAGGAGAAGAGGAAGGAGAATCCCCACTCCATAAGCAGACACCCACTTGCACTAGTTTGTGTCTTACCCAGTGCTTCACGTCACACTCCTTAACTGTCTTAAAAGAGTTTTGTGCTTACAATTTCTTTTTTTAACCCACATTTAGTTTACAGAAACAAGGAAGGTACCTTAGGAGCTTGTAGGTTATCCAGATGTGTTGCTGTGTACATGCAATAGATTTTTCAGTGGTTTGTACCATCTCACAGTGGGCACACGAGGATTGTGCATTTGCAACTTTAGACCGCAAAGAGAGATTAACAGGGGATGGACTGTCAGTCTGCAATGTGCACTGTGGAACTATGGCGACACTCAAACCATACATTTCAAACACTCTGATACCAGTCAGGACTTCCGCCAAAGAATTCTGGGAGCTGTAGTTTGTTAAAAGTGCTGAGAGTTGTTAAAAGACCCCTGACTTCCTAGAGCTACAATTTCAAGAGCGGTTGAACAACCAAAACACTTCTCAGGGAACTCTACAGCTCCCAGAATTCTTTGGGAGAAGTCATGACTGTTGAAAAGCGGTATAGAGCTTTAAATACAGGATGTGAATGCAACTGTAACAGAAGGTAAAGGTAAAGGTACCCCTGCCCATTCGGGCCAGTCTTGCCAGACTCTAGGGTTGTGCGCTCATCTCACTCTAGAGGCCGGGAGCCAGCGCTGTCCGCAGACACTTCCGGGTCACGTGGCCAGCGTGACAAGCTGCATCTGGCGAGCCAGCGCAGCACACGGAACGCCGTTTACCTTCCCGCTGGTAAGCGGTCCCTATTTATCTACTTGCACCCGGAGGTGCTTTCGAACTGCTAGGTTGGCAGGCGCTGGGACCGAACGACGGGTGTGCACCCCGCCGCGGGGATTCGAACCGCCGACCATGCAATCGGCAAGTCCTTGGCGCTGAGGTTTTATCCACAGCGCCACCCGCGTCCCAACAACTGTAACAGACCCACCACTTAATACCACCAAATAATAAGGTGGCAGATCTGCTAACTGCCCCCTATGATATATAGCCACCCACCTCAGGGTACACCAGTTACACAAACTTCTACAATTTACCACAGATTGTCTAGTGGGGGACTTGTGTGAGGGAAAACTCAGGCAGGAGTTGAACAAACAAACAAACAAGAAAAGCTTATTGAACAAAAGTCAGAAAATGTGTTCCTTCAGGTAGAAGTTAACTTGTTTGCTTTAACTTAAAGATGTCTCAGGCTTAAACAAAACACTGTAGGCACAGCTCCTCTTAAACTTTAGTTACTAAAAATCAGGTGTTACACTTCAGGTGATAAAATATTCAGGTTTCCGAAACAGATGGTAAAATGCTCAGCTCGGTTTCTGTCACTTGGATTATTACAGTTAAATACTTTCAACACCGTACAGCTTCCTTCACAGCTTAATACTTTGGTTCATGAGCAAGGGGCACTTTTCTTCAGTTACCCACTCTCTTAACCACCCCACGCCTGAGGTCTTCTAAATGGTGTAACAGACCCAGGGGATCACCTCACCCCTTGTCACTGGTTTGGGAATGTTCAGTACCTAGAAGAACTCTCCCCTCCTGGCTATACGGAGACCCAGGTAGCCTGAATTCCCAAAGGATCTACTTCTCCCGGCTCAGACTCAGCACTCCCAGGACGCTCCTATCTGTATACCTTTCCCAGACCCTCAACCCGGTCTTCCTATCCAAGCTACAAGGCTCTGTCCTCTTGCTATTGATAGTGCGTGTGTTTCACTTCACTCAGAACCAGTTCTCCTTTTCTCACTCCCTAAGTCCAAACTCCAGTCAAACTGAAGTATTTCAGTTTAAAGTGTAAATTTAAACGGGGGAAACAGAGAAAAATGGGACTGTACATTGCCATCTGGTAGCACAATGTTATATTGCACATACACATCTAAATCACTTTTTCTTTACTAGTCTAGCTGAGTCCCCTAACTCTCTCCCTCGGAAACTGCTCCTTTTATTCTCCCCCGCAAAGTGCTAACTGACTCCATAGCCAATGGGCAAGGGGTTCCCGCACTCTGGTGGAGTTTCAGTGGAACTGCATCACCAGACTCTGGTCTGGCTCTGCTGTCTGTCACAGCAACCTAAGATATGTCTGCCATCGCAGAGAAGGGAGAAGCTCTAGGCAGCTCAAGGCTTTCAGGGGACTGATTTCATAAGCTGTTGAGTTAGGCTTTCCCTTGCATGCATATCTTTGTAACAGCAGGCAGAGCATTTTGCTAATGTCATAACAATAATAGAGTGTCTCTGGGTGCCAACTTGCACTGTAAAAAGCCACTCCATACACAGTTGATATTGGGGAAAAGGAACAATAGGTCTGATGCAATAGCTTCCATGAAGCTAGCAGCATCCATGTTGGGTTTTAAAAATACATTCAGTTTTTAGGTTTCACCCTTTTAATACAACAATTGAACAGAACAATACCATTTTCATAATGCGCAAAAGACGTACTTTATAAAGAGTTAGATTAGTGTCAATGAACTAAGTATAATTGGAATGGTTTTTGATCAATTGCTTAGAGGGAAAGTAAGTCTGAGGAGTCCAGATAAACCTGGTATTAGTAGAAGAGAAGTGATGAAAATGTATGTGGGCCTTTTTGCATTTTCACTCTGCAGAGTCTGGTTTGGATAAGAAAGGAAACTCAAGTGAGCCTTGGCTGCTTTATGTACCAGAAATGGGCCCTGGTGCTGTGCAGGAGGTGAGGAGCATCAATGCATCGATAAGCAAAATGGCCAGGTTTCTAATAGAAATGTACCGATGGGGAGCATGTTTAGTTTTCGGTGAAAATCATTAGTCCACTTTGTGAATCTTGGCAGCATGTATTCCCTATTGTAGTGGAGAGCTGACTGCAGCGGGTGAAAGATCAGATACTGCTTGTTAAACCTTCTTGTTGAAGCTGTAGCTAATTAAAAGTTTCTGCCGGCAGCCAATTAGTTTGACTTGTTGGAAAAAGTACTTTGGTTGGATTTCATGCCACTTGAAGAGCATTAGCTGCTTGGGATTAGGTAGCAGCGATTCAATTGACATGGGCTGTCACCCTCCGCTCCCACTCCAAATTCAGAGCAGCCTTTCGAGGCTAATCAGCATGCATCATGTGTTTTTATCAAGGGCAGGAGCCACTTCACAGTTGCGCTACCCAACACGGCTGAGCAGAATTCTGCCTTCCTCCTTCACTCTGCCTACCCTGACAGGACGCCATGTAGACTGGCATGCCTGCACACAGCTCTCATATCCATAGCCAGGCCCCCCTCTCTGCCCAAGGCAAGCTGTGTTAGAAGATGGAGGTCTAGACAAAGATACCTCATCCTGTCTGCACTACCTGTGTGAATGCTCATGCAGATTTCCCACATGTGGGTTCTCCATTTTCGCTTTATTTCTGTTAAATAAATCATGACATGGTGTGTAATATGTCATGTGTTGTTGTTCATCTGAGGTTGTGTATACCTAATTTTAAAACCGGCTAAGGAACAGATGGTTGTTATTATGTCCTGGTATGTAAAACCATAGAATTCATAGAGAGTGTACTTTATTTCCCCCCATGACTTTTAAGTATCTGTGATTTATTCTAGCCCAAGTATTTTTGTGTGGGGAATGTTTGTTTAAAGGTGACTGATAGCCGGTGTAAAATCTAACCAAGTTTTAATATGCCTGGAGCAATCACCGTTGTGCTTAACTCTGCTACTGGAGAGTAGGAATCTCACTTCCAAACCTCTCTCACACCAACAGTATTTCCTTAGGTCTACAGAAGCAGCTGCTAGCCCAGACCTGATGTTTTCACTTGCTGAAAGGCATATATTGATGGAATCTGAGTGAAAACCCACCTCCATTACTAGGAGATGAAAAGTATCTTACAAAACATTTAGAATCCACCAATTTCCCGCCTTACCAAATCCATGCTGCAGTAATGCAATTTCCACTGACTTTTTAGCAAGAAGATGCATTTTACAATTAACAAAATGTGCAGTTATCTTTCAATTCATAGCTAGCCGTGCGCTGAGTGCCCAGCCATTCATGGCTTTGAGCACTGTACATTACATTTAATTGAAAAACATGATGGTACATAAAGCTCTATAACCTTCCCTATGCTGTCTATAAACTGTAAGCAAATACATCTGGTAATATTTTATGTCTATCATAAAAAACTTTTTCATGCTTGTGTAGCATGTTCTGGCGGCGAAAGCAGGTGGAAGCTAGAGAGCATCTGGGTTGGGACTGGGACAACTAACCACCTTTTAGAGATGATGGGAGACATGGTTTAGGTCATCGGGGAGTGGGGGTAAGGTAGAAGCTAGCAAGAAGCATATAGACTGACATTATAGATATTTAAAGACCCCAAAGAATCATAGGAGAAATCGCCTCAGAAAATTTCTCCATAGTTTACTTACTTACTGAATGAATGTATATCCCACCTGTCTTCCCAAAGGAGGCTAGGGTCAGGGTGGCAGTTTATCCATTGCATTCCTCTCAAAATGCCCTGCGCTGCTATGCAGTGGTCTCTTTAGAATGGTTTGTACAAATAATATTTCCCTTACCAAAGTGTGGCTATATTTCTTTATGAATACACCTTTTATACCATGGAGGCTCCCCCAACTCGCCAAAGTAGACTTTGAAGGGACCACAGTGGAGAAGGAGAGGATAAGGAAGTCCCATTGAATGTGCCAATGTCTGTTCCACTTTTGCAACAGGAGGGTTGGATACAACCTATGGCATCACCACCACAAAACCGGCCATATCTTTGTAATCATATGTGCTTAATACTTTCTGATAGCCATTTGTAATGGGGTTAAAGCGGACAATCAACACAGTCATGTGTCCCTCTTGGTAAAACCAAATTTCCACCATGCATTATATATATCACCTGCCATTACAGGAACACAAATTTAGGAACCTAGAAAGCTGTCATCTATTGTTAATTCAGACTACTTGTCCATCTTGCTCAGTTTTGTCTATCATGACTGGCGTTAAGATCTCAGGCACGGGTCTAACGTCGCTTGCTACCTGGGACCTGCATTCTAGGCATGTGCTCCACATAGCTAGGCCTTTTCTGTTCATCAGAGCTAGAGAAAAGTTGATTTTAAACATGCAGCAATATGTGCTGACATATCAAATATAATTTACTCTCCAGGTAAAGTGAAAAGTAGCCGCTCTTACTCCTCCTCTTAACAGTTCACCGCTACCCTAGATTTTCAATTTCCATAATAAAGATTGTGACAACCGTAACACACACGGTATATAAAATAATTACTTTTCCCTGTCAGCTGGTATTACGTCAGACATGTTCTTAAAACAATACAAGTGAGCTTCAGTGGAGCCTCTGAAAGGGAACTGCAATGAAGCAATTTAGAAATGCAGCAATAAAATGGATGGTAGTTGCTGAAGTCTATTCACTGTGAATTACCTTCAATATATTTACCATTTCTGGGTTTCTAGAGTGCTTTCCAGTAATTACATAGTTGCCTTGAAGGGACAGTACTTCCTCTATCAGCTCTTTTAAATTAAATCTACACAGGACGTGACAAATGGTCATTTAGGCAAGCTAAGAATCCAGGCAACGATGGAGGGGAAGGGAAACGATGAATAAAGTCCTTGAATAAGGCTGAGGTAGCATCTTTCCCAATGAATGGAGGAAACTATCCTCTAGAATAACTTCTGACTCTTTAAATCACAGGTGGGGGACATGTAGCCCTCCAAATATTATGGCATTGTTAACTCCCACCACCCCTGACCAGAGGCCATGCTGGTTTGACTGATGGGACTTAACGCCCCGCAACATTTAGAGGGTCACCCACCCTGCCATAAAGGCCTATTCACTAATGCATGGTGGATATAAATGCGGTCACCAATAAAACTAGCAGATGCTCCATTTTGTTGCTGTTTTCCAGCTAAGGTCACAGAGCAATAGGCAGAAGTGTACTGAAGTGAGCAGGGGCAGGCAATGTGTTGCCCTTCAGATGTTGTTAGTCTACAGCCTTTATCATCAAAGCAGCTCACAAGAATCACAATGGCATTAACAAACAACAACAAAAATTGCAATCACTGTAAATACCAAACATAGTAGCATATAAATACACAACTTGTGACCTACCCAGCAAAACAATGAATACAATTCAATAAAGTAGTAGTAACTCATTGCCAGGATACTTCCTAAGCACATGGAGCTTTACTCCAGAATAACAAAAAATGGATTGGCTATGTCCTGTTGGTTATCAAATGCATTGTTTTGCAACAATGGTTAGAAAGCTGCCTCCTAGCCCACTGAGAGTGATCAGTGTATGGGATCATGTCACAAATAGCTCTTTGGGGATGTAGTTTGTGGACAAAAGGGCAATATTACGTGTGTGTACTTGAAGTCAGCTTTATTGAGTTCAATAGAATTTTGGCCCAGGAAAGTGTGTTTAGGATTCAGACTCCATTTCCTTTCCAAACAGGATCAGTGTCAACAGAAATGTTGAAAGCCAAATATAGCCGAAGCAAAATTGTCCAGATAAGCCTAAGTGAAATTATTGGACTTAAAACGGTGTCTCTCTGTGTGTCTACGTTGGTACTTGGAGTGAATTAATTAGTATGGAAGAAGTGCTTTGAAGATGAAAAGCATTTTGTAAAGACTAAGCATTAATTTTGTCGCTGCATTGTAATCGTTCCCAGTTGTTCCACAAATTAGTTGCCTAATAAGGCTTTAATAGTGCTCATTTATCTTTTCCGTATCAGGTGTGAGCCACAGTTGTTATAATAGCTTTACAGCTTCTTTTCTCTTTACATAAAAGAGCATTTTCATAAGTGAGGTTTAAATCACTTTTGAGCCTTGTGTGTGCTATTTATGTCAATGTTTGCGTGTTGTTCATTTAGAAAAGGAGCATTTAGTAAACATGAGTAAATATCCCAGCCAAGGTGGGTTTTTTACATTTACATTACAAACCACTTGAGCCAAAAGCACGTTAACAGCCACAGGCAGGAAAATGCCTTAAGTATTTAAATAACAGGTGGAAAAACAAACAAAATAATAATGTTGCCAACTGTAGTCTGAGTCTTTCAACATCTGAGTGGCAGACAGTTAGCTGGAACATTCAGATGCTCTTGGATTAAGTTAACTTTATGGATCTGAATCCAGCTAACTTCCAGCTGGGTTCCAGAACAGGAACATCCTAGGATTTGCTAGCTAGCTTGCTTGCATCAGGAGAAGATGGGGGTGGGTAGGTTGCGGGTTTGCACCATTATTTTCTTAAGACTTCTCAACAGCTTTCAGTATTGTTGACTAGTTCCTATGGTATCAATTTGGACCATCTCTGTTGTTTGGGATATGGTGGTTCTGCTTTCTCCCAAAGAGTATGCACCAGGAGGTGGTTGTAACAGAAGAATGATTGACTGCCAGGTGTGTGGAGTCAGAGAGTGACAGGTGCAGAGAATCAGTTGAGAAAGGCAAGAGGGTGCGTGAGGGAGACCATAGGTAAAAGGCTGGGAGTTAGAGGGAAGTCAGGTTTGTTATGTTAGTAAAACTTCTCTTGTTCTTTATTAAATGACTTGTTATTGTTTGGTATCTCCCATGAATAAGCTGTAGGGTAACCAGCCTAGCATTCTTGAGTCCAATAAGTGCATGAAAGGGTTAAATCCATAGAAAAAGCTGTCCTGTCTGTGTCACTTCCTCTCACCACAAGATGAAATGGGTAACCAAGCCTTTGTCCATGTGAAATTCAGTATGTAAGGAGCTCTGAACTGATTGCTCCAACCAGCACAGGGCTTTAACTAGCCTCTCTTGTTTCAGTCCTGAATGGAGTCTGAAACTAGAATATTTTTCTGTACCAATAGTTTGTTTTGTAACTAAGCAACATTTTTAATTGTTTGGGCATCTTTTGTGACTACTGCATGGAAAAAGCACAGAAATCTGAGCTTTGAAGAGTTATGTAAGTAAACAATTTTGTTACTTTCTTAATGTGTGCTATGCTAGGGAAGTGGGACAGCTTGGAAAGATTTTTTAAAAGGGGACACTTTGGGGCTCACTGGAAGGGCACATTTTAAAGGTTTCACAACCTCAATTTCCATGCTTTTCTTTGCTGCATATTTTGTGATGTTAAATCTCTGCTGGGGTTCTCTCACAAGAGAGTACTTGCCCCAAACTTGGCTTCCAAGATTTCAACCTAAAAAACAAGCTGAGTTTAAAATTTTATGAATGTGATCACGTCTGGGGAGTGATGGGTCAGCAGTTTTCTGGCTCACCTCTCATGCTGGCTTAGTATTACAATAAAAGCTGAGCCTCTGTAAATTTTGGGGAACATTACAGGAAGTGGACCAAGTAAAGTTAATATACAGTCGTACCTTGGAAGTCGAACGGAATCTGTTTTAGAAGACCGTTTGACTTCCAAAACATTCGAAAACCAAAGCACGGCTTCTGATGGGCTGTAGGAAGCTCCTGCAGCCAATCGGAAACGGAAGTCCCGTTGGATGTTCGGCTTCCAAAAACAGTTCGCAGACCGGAACAGTCACTTCTAGGTTTGCAACATTCGGGAGCCAAAACGTTCGGGAACTAAGCTGTTTGACTTCCAAGGTACGACTGTGCTTTGAGCATTCATCCTGGTTTGTTTACAGCAAGATTAGATGATGTTGGCTGTTAATGAGCATCCACTCTAATTTGTTTGTGGAGATGCTAGGTGCCCTTGTATCAAAGCAAATGGTACCACATGCTTTTCAGTGCAATTCCCCCTCACTTTTCATTCTAGCGAAAGGTTAAGTCTTTTGGGGATGCAGGTTTGTTGTGCATTTGGCATTAATTGCCTGAATTTGCTGGTATCTGACTGAATCCCACTCAGAAACAGCGACAGTGTGGAAATACCCTCTGAGTCTACTTCAGAACTTCACGTTCATCACCAGTAATTCCACTGTATTGTTGGAGGATACCTTTATTAATAATTCCACTACAGTGTAAAGAGACTACCTTTATATTTTTTATTAGTCCTTAGTTCTGTTTTATAACACATTAAAGGCTTTTAATATTCTGCCAACAGGCCTGAGACACTTGAACGCTCTTAAATGCCACGCACCCTCATTGAGAGGAAGCACTAATTCCCACAGTGAATGTTTCTCGGTGTCATTATCCTTACAGTTGAAAATAAGATGCTTAAATGAAATTATATGAATCGTACAATTAAGCTGTTCAGAGTTAAATCTGAATTCTTGTTAAAATCTATTGCAAATCTGCTGCTTTCAATGGGACTAGGCATTACGGAGCTCGCTTATCAAAGCCGGTTTAATATTTCCTTGTCAGGTGAATAGGTATTTGTTTTAAAAGCAATCATTCCAGCATGGCGAATCAATGAGCCTCTGCAAGCAATAAGCCAGGCAGCGAGCAGAGCTGTCATAAAGCATGTGCTGGTACAAGTGTTTCAGATGTTTTATGGCCTCCTACATAAGCAGGAAGTGACAGTGAGGCAGAGCGCTTTAAGACTGGCCATGGCTCAGTTAGCCTAAGTACTAACAAGGATATTTAAATGTATAATTCTGCTCTAGTTCCATTCCATTAGAGTAGAAAATGAGATTTGGTTGCTCTGCTTGACAAAGCTACTTGATCCCACTGTGCTGCCCTCAGATGAGCTTCGGCTAGGCCTCAGGCCAGCAACTGATTTTGAGTGGGCTCCACAGATGAGTACCTGGAAAGGCATGTAGCTTCTGCCTGATGGTCCTTGGATAATGGTTCTGTGCACAAATGTATTTCATTTCTCTGCAGCTAGGTAAGTTACTGAATTGGAACTGAGTTGAATCAGAATGAAGCATATTAGTATAAATGACATTGCTCAGATGTAAATGGCAGAGAAGACATTGCTTGGATCAGTTAATGGCAAGATCAGCACAGAAAGGAGATTTTGCATATCGATCAGAATCCAGAACTGGTCCGTGAACAAATTGTAGACAGCTGGGGATATGTCTTATGGAGATTGTACTTCAAAGACCCAATTTTATACATAAAAATGGAGACCATAGGCTGTTTTGCCGCTGCCACTATGGGTCTAGCAACTGACTTGTTATTGGCTCTTGCTGCACAATAGGACTGCCAGCAGGTCATCTGTTATTCAGGTTATCTCTTAGCTATACTAGCTAAACTTAGAGCTCTTGAGAGAAAGTACCGATGATGTTTAATTCACCTTCTCCGTATTGGAATCTTGGCTCATAGGAAAAGCAATTTTTAAGCAAAGTGTTGACGTTACTTTCAAGGGAATTGATCTGTTATTCAGATGGGGGTATAACTTGGTGGTAGAGTAGATACAGCACATGTGGAAGACTTAATGTTCAGCCCCTGGCACCTTCACTGAATAAAGTAGCTCAGGGAGCAGGTTTGATGCCAATAAGAGGAGTGGACTTCTAGGCGGAGCACTAAGCTGAGTTCAGAGTGCAGTGCTTAGCACTTTGTGTGTATGTGGCATTATGCAGATGCTTGTGGTGGTGGAGATCCCTTTTTTGCCTGAAGGTCACACTCCCTTGTGGGCATCCTTCTGAGAGCTGCTTGCCAGTGGCAGGCAGGACCAAAAGTAACAGCAGTGAATGTGACTCTTAGAGTATTAGGGTAGGTGCGTTCCAGCCATGCAAAAGTCTGAGGGCTCTACACTCCCTCCCTCCCAGTTCAGGGGCACATGCCAGTCAGGCAAATGTACTTGAGAAGGCATGGGGTCATGCTGGGGAGGGATGTGGCATGGGGAAGGGGGTGCCCCAGGGAGAGACCCAGGGGCCGGTTAGAAAGGCCTGAGGCATGCAATTGGACCTGGACCCTGAAGTTGCTTCCAGAGCCATCCTGTGACGCAGTGGGTCAGTGCGTTAGCCGGAAGGTTAGTGGTTCAAGCCCCCCCAGGGATGGCTGTGGGCAGAATCGCCGCATGGCACGGGGTTAGACTAGATGAACCCTAGGGTCTCTTCCAATTCTGAATTGTGCTCATTAGAGCAGGCTGGTGCTAAATGTTAACAGCTGTACAAAGGAACTGAAACAGCAGCAATTGCTGCTTCCGAAGCTAAGCCGATAGTTTCTGCAGCTCAATTTCCAGTAGTGTTTAAGTAAATAGTCCTTAAAGTTGCAATTCCCTTTGCTCATTATCTCAACTAGCTCAGAAGTGCTACAATAGACAAAGTTTCAGAGGTAATGGGAAGTTCCGTGGGTTTTGTAGTGTTGTTCCAAGGAAAAAAATACTAAGCTAAGTAAGTGTAACAGGGAGAGTGCTTCCATGAAATGACAAGCTGCCTTGCAGGTCATTGTGGGGAAAAGTTAACACGGCCAATGTGCAAGATGGTCTGGAGTACTTTCTGTTTGTTCATATGTCATTAAAACAAGGAGTGACAGATTTTATACATTTGAGAAATCTGAGGAAAGCTGAACTGGATGTGATGGCAGCCATGGGTTAAAATTAGGTCTGTGGCTGAGTAGCAGCAAGGAAAGTTACTGCAATTTAAAACATTGCATGGGGGGGTGCACCTTTCAATAACCTTCCCTCTTTCGCTCCACTAACCGTGTCCCAGCTGGACTGCTCCCCCCTTCTAATAGTGTGTGCCCCACCTCTGAAACCCTCCAGCTGCCAGCAATTGCTAGAACTCTCCCACAAAACTCTGGCTATCGCTCTTTTGCCTTACATGGTGATGTTGCTTTGAACTAGGTTAGGGGATTCCCCTCCGCCTGTGGCATCAGGGCAACCTGTCTTTAATGTAAATGGAAGTACGTATTTAACTGGCCAGCTAAGGCCATAATCTTAACCCATTTAGATGGGTGTATCATCAGCAGCAGCATTATCATCATTGGAACTGATTGGTTTGGTTTCCTCTTAGAGAGTCTACCTTCATCTATATTGAGTCAGTTTCGGAAAACACCCTGACTAACCCCCTCCCCCCCCCAGAAACCCTCTATACCAGGGCGGTCTGACTTTTCATACCAAGTGTGCCGCAAGACAACTTTGACAAGGAAGCCATGGTCCTTACACTGCCTTGTTGCCTGCAAGCTGGGGGTGTGGGTGAAGCAGGGCCAAAATTTGATGTTAAGTGAGGTGCTGGGCTTTGGGAAGGCTGCAAGGCTCTGGCAGGGTCCTAGAGCCCTCCTACTTCCTTTCCAAAGCTGAGAAAGCGCCAACTAGGCCTTGGGAAGGAGAAAGGAGGACCTTATGACCCTGTTAGAGCCATCATGCCTCCTTCCCAAAGCCCAGCAGCTTGCTTACACAGCTGTGGGAAGGCAGCACAAGGGCTGCAAGGGAGGGGTGTCAAATGTTGCTGAGGGCCACCCAAAAAAGACCTTGGGGGCTGTGCCCCATAACTATCTATCATATATCATCTATCTATCTCTCTCTATCTATCATCTATCTATCATAGCAGTTTCATGAAATGTAAAATCCAGTGTAAATTTTTGACCAGCTGGTTATTAGTCTGATGTGAGAATGGCCTAACAGCAAGTCACAGAAACACCATTTATGACTCTGTGCAGGTTTGAGTTTGATTGGGAGCCATCCTAGGCTGCAGCATGAAAACAGCACCTCTCTGCTGTGTTGGTCGATATCAGCAAACTCAATTAACAATTGCTGGAATGCAAAAGCCATTGTTGGGGTGTGTGGCGACACAAAGATCAAATTGAGACTGAGAATTTCATCTAAATTTAACTCAAAAACAAGATTTGAAAAGCCCAGGGCATGCTCGCCTCGGCTGCGCTTATTAGCAATGACAGCCAGAAGCAAAGAAACTCGCTATATTAAATTAAGAAGAAAAGGAAGACAGCATGTTATTCAGTATAATTAATTTGCAACACTGAGAAAGTGAGACCGCTTGAGACCCAGTATTTGCTTTCATTATTAGAGAGATGCTCTTAATTAAGACAAGACAAACTGAAATGATCAATTTAATTTGTGTTCAAACTAACTTTGATGAGAAAGAAAGAGATGGTGGTGGT